GCGAATGCACGCCCACATAGTAGAGCACACTCTCCGCCGAGATAGCACGGGTACTGCTATCGCACGACCGTGGCACTAATGCGCGCGGTCGGTTGTTGCTTGTGTCGCGCTTGTTGCTCCTGAAGGAGCTGTCGCTGCCACGTAGGCCGAGTGCGAGCCGGCTCGTCAAACCAGAACGACAAATCACAATTACGCTTGACGACTCTAAAAACTCGTCGCTTCGGCCAGGCACCAGCATCCACGTTGGAGAGAGCGAACCTCGTCTTCTATACGCTCACTCGCTCCTACATTGAGTCACGTTATCATCCTCTGTAACTTTCTCTGCTCTGCTGGTTTTGCCAATCAACACCATAAACAGACAAACCAAGCAAAGCGGTTTTCTCCGTCCCAAATCAAATTTTCGCTATAGCTACAATATCATTGTTAAGAGTATATCATTATCGATACAACTATATCCAAATTTCAAATGTATTTTGCAATTTCAGAAGGAAATTTAGACATAGATATTCGTAATTGTTTCCTTTTTCAAATTTATTGTTATAAAGCGTACAAACAAATTTTTATTTACGTAGTTATATTATTTCCTTCGCGATTCTTTATATTTGAATTCCATACAGAATTTATAATATAACCAAATAATCAATGAGGAAAATAGCTGCTCAACATTTCAACCACGTGCGTGAAAAATTTTATTTGGGCAGTTATTTATCAGTTGTTTACGATTTTGCGTATTCTGATAGAAAGTTATTAATGATTACTGATCACATAAAATATATATACTCCCCCCTACTGTGCGAATCGAGAGTTATGAATTTTGTTCATATTGTTCGTATATATGGGGCAGCCAAGCCTACATGCTAATGACTATAGGGAACGAAGACTAATGCGTACAGGTCCCTAGTGTACCTCTGCAGCGTTCCACATGAACGTAGTTCTTAAAGTAATAATAACAATGCACGAATATTTGATTGTGTAACGGTCGTATCTAAACCTGGTTAGTTTTAATAATCAAAAGTGATTCAATTCAACCGAAATTAAGGCCTATCTGCTATTTTCTTGATCGGTGTGCTCATGATCATTCAAGGGCTGTACTTGATATGTACTGTAATATATCAATTGCATGTGTTTTAAAAGTTTTTTTATAGAGAGAGAAAATCTTATCATTTCACTTAATAAAAATCTGTTTTCAGGCCTTGTTAATTCACTTAGAATTTCAATGTTTAGCACCGTCCTGTAATCTAAGTACAAGCATATGTCAATTAAAATTTATAATAATTACCTCTCTTATTTTAAAAATATATTCAATTAAACACGTGTGTACCACTGTTATATATTACAGAAAAAAACGCTTGTACTCCACCAGACGCATCCTTATATTATTGCATGATGTTTTTCTATTTCTTACAAGCTTTTACCATCCCGACTACCATTTCGAAATTGCGCGTTGAACATAATACTAGTTGATACATCTCAAATATTAGCATGTATTTTTTCCTTCATGCAATATTAATTTGATAAAATCTACTTCGAATATTTATTGACAAGTATAAGTCTCGAAAGATTTGGCCTTTATTACCAAGTGTAAATAATAGCAAATACATCATTCTAATGGTATCATTCTTATCAAACCCTCATGAGCGATCGAGCGAGGCAATGTAAATACTAAAAAAACTTTTGAAAGCGTCAACGTTTATCGCGAAACTGTAGGGCGTTGATAAACTTGCCACTCTATCGTAACTAAATGAAATTTCGACGCTATCAGTTGTGTGTGTACGCGACTGGCGTATTACGACCCTTCCGAAGTAAGCAGAGAGAGGGAGAAAGAGAGAGAGAAAGAGAGAGGATGGATCGAATAAAAGGCCAAGAAAGTCCAAAAAGCTTACAGCCGCGAAAACGAAAGTTCGACGGGCGATCGATTCGTCAGAGTCGTAGCGGGCGTAAGCCGTCAATTCAATTGAGGGCGATCCGGCGCTTCCATGCAAATCGTCTATATCCTTTCGCGTCCGATAAAAAGAAAAAAGAAAGTAAGAAGAAGAAGAAGAAGAAGGAAGTAGAAACGTACAAATACGACGGTATCAATTTATTCGTCGCGCTCGCTGACTTTTTATTACTTGTCAGCTTTCGACATCTCATTGATCGCACTCTTTCGCTTATTAATTTATTCCCTTCGATTTAATATTAAACTCGACACGACTTTCCCGTACCCTGTCAAATGTTCGAAGCACATTTCATATTGCTTGTTTGAATTGAATTTCGTGGTCCGAAAGGTATATATCGTAAAGTATACACTGGCATTTGGCAGTATATAATTTACGATGAGTAGTACAAATCAAATTTTGTCAGCCAGAGCAATGTTATATATTATATAACATAATTTGAAATGGTAAATAGAGAGGGAAGGGAAAGTCGTGATGCCCCTTCCACTGCTGTTAAAATAAATCAAGATTAAATTAAATTAACACTGACTTCACAGCAGGACGATAAGATCAATTTGACATATTTTCAGTTTGGATAGCTCCTGCTATTAATTCTCTTCCTAAGTTTATCACGATATTGATCCCTGGTATTATTAATTCTTCTTCAAGACCCATCACCAATCATACATTTCTGAGAAGACAGATCTAGACACGTACGTCTGTAATCTTTATCATTCAAATAAAAATATGAATGTCAAAAGCTCATCACCTTTCATAGAATTACAGGTACGAGTAGAAAGAGAATGCACGTAAGAATTTTTATATCTTTTATATCTTCAAAAGACACTTTTTTCATAAAATTATGTCCTCGGTACCCGCATATTTGAAAGTAAAGCCTTTCAATAGGCGGAAAAAGAAGCACGGGTACTTGAAGCTTTTCATTACCATAATGGACGGGAGCGAGAAGGGAATAAAACGCATGAAAAGCTCATTGATCAGCGAATCAATGACAGGAGCATTGGTCGTCGTCCGCGGTTTGGAGCTCGGTTTTACACGGGGGACCAGTCATAAGTACGAGGGGTACGCGCACCTGCGATGAGGAGAGAGAGAGAGAGAGTGAACTACCCACCGGCATATCGCAGTTATTGATCGAAACCCCGTTGCCGCCGGCCATAGCCGAATCACTTGCTGCGTACACCGCAGGTGGCTAGACGACTCTTATTCTAAAAAAATGGAATTCCCGTTAGGTGTCAGCTCTACTCTTACCTTATTTCTACTTATGCTCGAGATTGATGTGTTTGGATAGCTACGATGTTGGGGAGTAAAGCAAAGCGTATTTGATATCATGAGTTTGAGAATAAATACTGTTTACGAGAATATGAGGTTCGTTGTGCGCGACTTTGGATGTGCTCATGGAAAAACAAAGCCATACTTTCAGAAAGCTTTCAAAAACAAAGATATAGAGATGATGCAGTAACACAACGTAAACTGATCTCATGATAATTCAAAACAGAAATATCTTGACGTCTTCGGCAGTAGATATCGCAATTGAATTTATCAGCAAATATCGAAAATTTAAATAGTCGTTCTCAAGTTGAAACACTATATTACGCTCGATTTTATTATGAATATGAGCGGATAATCTGATTTGCTTTTATAATCCTGCGAAGCGGTTATATGGTAAATCAGATTAATTTTCGCGATCACATTTCCGTATATTCTTGGTTCATTATTTTTAAATTCGACAATTACTTTGGATAATAATTGAATTATTAATGATAAAATTAGAAAATAACGATTGTGTATACCACAAAAAGTAATGTACGCTACTTGGAGGCTAAATTATAAACCAAACGGCTTTCCACGTTAATAATAATAATAATAATAATAATAACGAATCTCAATTACTTACCGTTCCCTGCGATTGGCTCGTCAAAGTGAGAGCTCTCTTTCAGAAGCACCGCCGCTATGCACGCATCATAATTAATTATTATACGAATTTGTTTGGGCCGCCCTTCAGACTATCCCGCCCAATTAATAAAAAAAGCTCTCTTTTAAGCCACTCGAATTCCTCTCAGCTTTCTCTACTTTTTCCACCCCAATCAATCCACGCGTTCGTACCGGCAACAGCCCCTCAGCAGCTCAACATTTAGAAAGGCATCCGGTCGATTCATTGTTCCTCGTTATGCGCGCGTCGACAAAAGGAACCGATGCGATAGAAGAAATTTTAATGTTTTTTTTTCTTGATAAAATCCTGTCGATAATCTAAAGAGAAAGAAAAAGAGAGTACATCTCCATTTATATTGGGCAGAACCTCGCTGCTTTTGAAGAGAGAGAGAGCGACACGTCGACTCAATCTCACATTTTTACTATGCATATACGTGCCAAATTACATTTGTTTTTTGCTCTCACTATTTCCTCTAACATCACGGACAGCTTGGCTTTTCTTCTCTTTTTTCTTCTTCTTTTGTTTCAGATAGGAAGCGTCTAAATATGCGAAACGCGCGCGAGCTTGGAATAGCATTATAAATCCTCGGCACTAGAGATAATATTGGATTCTTGAAGGGTGAAATAATATTACGAATTCCTTTTTTTCTCGAAAAGGTTGAGCATTGTTTGGATAGCGTTCGAATGAAATAACCAATTTTTTTTAAGGCTTTCGTAAATTTTTGACAATCAATTTATCGAAATAGGATTCTATTGTTGGTCAATAGACATATATTAAAGTTACACTGCTGTTCATCAAACCACCTCTATATGAAAGATATTCGTGAAAACATGCACTGGACGTTCGTCTCTCTTTTAAACTAAAGCGTGCTAATCATAGGAATGTACATATACCTAAAGTTGGATAACTATTCACTCGATATAATTTTTTAACAAAGACTTCGAAAAATATTAATGAATTTATTGGTATCGAATAATAGATCCAGGCTCTGTAACAGAAATGACCTTTGCGTAACTAATTACAATCAATCCACAGATGTATCTGAAGCTCCATACGCATACATACTCGACAATGTCTCATCACGATAATTGCAGGAAATGATAATTGCATAGTACCTGTGGATATTATGGTTGCAGGGTCTATTCTCAAGGATCACGTTCAGGGAGCCGTTGTTCATCGGTGGCCCGGGCAATACGAGTGGCCTCGAGCGACTGCCAGTTCGCACGGGTTTCCGAGGCTGCGTCCGCAATCTCGAGGTCAACGAGCACCGCTATCATTTCCCTTTGACACCACTCGGTGACGCCCTCAATGGATTTGACGTCGGTGAGTCCTTTTTTTTTATTTCCGCTCCAAGGTTAATAAGCACGCGCCGCTGTGTATTGATCTTCTGGGCGTAGCTTTGATTGGGTTTGATTTTAGAGGTGAGCTGGAAAATACATTTGTTCACATATTTTTGCTCGTCAGCAAAAGTGAAGGTTGCATTTTGAAAATGAAACCTAAAGAAAAAAACAAATATATATGTACATATACATGACAAGGTATAGTTTTGATATCGTAACGCAACGTCAATATTGTCTTTAAATCCGCATCACCTATGAATATTCCATTTCATATCTCGAGCGAATGACGTGTGTAGAAGTAATCCCGAAAATATATGACTATTTCAATAGCCGAAACTCTTTCGGTTTGAAAATTCCCGTGAGACTTCGTTTGTCGGGCGCGCGAAACAAAAAAGAATTGAAGCACCAAAAGCGTGCATAACGCGGTGCTTGATTCGCGATACTAAAGTGTCGAGTTAATCGACGCAAGAAACAGCAGACAAAACTAGGTCAAAGATAGTGATAAATGTTAACGTCGATTATGCATTAGCCGCCTGGTTGGAAATTGAAGGCGTATTGATTAGAGTGTAACGACTTTAGGTCCTAGGATTAATCGATCCGAAAATAATTCACTTGGAGTGCTATTAAGTTGCGGTACACTAGGCATCGCTGTAATTAAATCGCCACTTAATTAAAGGCACTAGGAAAAGAAGTACAAAGACTATTGCCTGATAGTCAACAGCTGAGCTTTCCATTACGCGGCAACGATTTGAACGATCGAGTCTAGGTTAAGAGAAAACTCGTGGAGTTACTGCTGGACATTCGCGTGCGCGCGGCAAACGTGGTAAGCAAGTCAATTCGATGCAATAAAGAAGAAAATCTGACGCTATTTATCCGTGACTCGATTCATCATCGTGAAAAAGAGAGAGAGAGAGAGAGCGCGCGAAACTTGTAAAATTACAGCGCAGTACCGCGCCATAGATACAGCTCCTCGTGGTAATAGCATCGACTACCAATCCATTATCCATTAATGATAAAACCTGAACGCGCGAAATTAGAAATTTACGACGGGAGGAGGGAAACGAGGAACTCCAGAGGCGCAACTTCGAGAAGCGGATATTAGTACGTGAGGCCCGGTGAAAATGCTCCACGCTTGAGAAAGAAAATAACAGGCGCGAAGCGGTCTCAAAAGTTTATAAGTGCGAAGTAATTGCAGCGAGAGAGCGTTCGCGAACAATAGCGAGGTGGAACAGGGCGCGATAGATCTTTTCTTTCTTTTCTCTCTCGGAGACGCGCCAACGATCGTCAGATGCTTTTTTTCTTTCTTCTTCATTGTCCGTTCATTTTGCGCGTCTCCGTTTGATCGTTTGTGCGTTTTGTTTGCCGGTGAGCAATGATGTTTCCGCTCGTTTCCGCGCTAATTGAGTACCCTCGGAATATACACAGAGGAATAATTCGCCTCGATGCACTGATTTATATGTGTTTTGCAACGGATGAGAGCGAGAAAGAGGATTTTACAGTTAATAAATCTGAATATGAACGAAAAAAAAAATTCGACGCAGCTAGATTAATCAATAAATTGTCGAAACATTCGAGAGCACTTTCAGTACATTGCAAAAGATATATACGAGCAACTTTTTTTTCAATCGTAAAATTTCATTATTTTCCGTATTTCAATAACAGTTCAGTTTATTATTTTCATTCTTAGTGTATTCGACAAAGAAAAATTAGTGACATGTGTCAAATTTCATGAACACCCATAGGTTCAATTAGAGAAACAGTGCCTTCACATTTTTTCAGTAATAATAGGTGCACAATTGCTGTTAGAAAATGTTGTTATCCAAATGTTCTCAGTATGTCGACAAGTTCTAGTAGACATCATTTTAAAGAGAGACCGTTGGTAGAGTTCAAAATATTGAGAACAAAGGTTTTTACTGTTGCTCTGATCAACTATAAAAATGCATATTGCTACAAACCACATGTGTAATTCGAAAGAGCAAAGTAATTGGATAACAGAAGAAGCATTGAATATAGAATATATATTCACCTCTACACGTCGACCTCCATCTAAAAGTATATTTGCGCGAGTATGATAATGCTCATCCACGATCAAGAAGCACTCAGCGGAATCGTCCCTCGCTTTAGACACTCGAGCTGTTTCTCATCATATCTCATCAGCCGAATGTTTATTCATCTTTTTCCAGAGAAGTGCACGGCCGACCGATGTAGCAAAGTGCCATGCGAGCACGGAGGCAAATGCTTGACAAGCGGCGGAGACACAGCTGTCTGCTTATGTCCGCTCGGCTATACTGGTGACCTCTGCGAGACAAGGGTGGATCTGCAGGTAAACAAAAATGTTTTTCCCTCTCTCGATTGTTCGCCCACCGATTCGAGTGTGCTCACCAAATTCGTATTTGGCAATGGTATTGATGAAGGGTCCTGGCCGCCGCTCCGGGGACGCCTCTTCTTCGCGATGGACATTGAAAAGTTTTTTCCCGACAAGGGTGTTTTACTTCTTTGGGTTTTAGATTGATCAAAGTGACTTTGCTTTCTTTCGGTTTTCCTCGTGATGCCGAGATTAAAATTTCAATGTAGTGAAAGATTTTCAATGTTTGTCTATGGATTTGTATGTGAAAGATAATTTGAAATTTTCGTATGCACTACAATAACGAGGCGCAATAAACTGATGAAGTGAAATTCGATATTTCCAAAAGAAAAAAAACATCAGTCCAAGAAAAAATTAGTTCGCAATGTCAGCGCTAAACTTCATCTAAAATTTATTTACGTTTCTTCATGAAAAATGCAGGACAAATTAGAGTCGTTAAAATATTACAGGCGCATATTCACTTTGGAATGAATTATGCCGATGTGACTTTTAGTAGGTTTCAGTGGTCGAAAAACGTGTGCTGCAATCGATTGCTCATTTAAATTTCAATTCTATTTTAAAACCAGAATGACTACACTTGCGTCAATTGCTTTTTGAAAGATTACTATGAGGCATGCGATATTTGGACGTTTGCTTTTACATGAAATTAACCGAGCGAGTTAGTTCATGGGTGAGAAATAATTCGGCATTAGTTTGAAGAAGCAGTCTCCTCCGAAACGGCATTGTGCATGCATTAATAACAACTGGCTAGATTATTCGGTCTATCAAGCCACTCGGATATTATTCGTACAAGATAATTATCTCAGCATAGCCGCACACAAATCGAAATGACCATAAGCGATGTATGCAATAATCCGCGTGGCCGTAAACACAAAACACAAGGGGGACAGTCGGTGCAAATGAAAATGTAGTAGCCAAGCGAGATGAGCAGCTTAGGACGTAAGCGGGAGCTAATACAAAGTTGGATAACGAGTGAGAGTAGGCAGGGGAGAGAAAGCCGTAAGGATGTTTACGAGTCGGCGATTAAAACTTCGATTATGATCGTACACGCACAAAACGGTGCATTGCAATGGCGGACCTCGAGTACGTGTTAAGTGCTTACGAGGTGTATATATACGTGTAGTTGCTATAGGCGGCGGCATCGATTGCGATGCTTTTAGCGCGCCGAACCTATCTCTTATGTAAACTCCATAGTGTCAGCGCGTCACGTTTGCCCTAGACGTGTAAATCAATAATACGGCTGCTGCCTCTGTAGCCGACCAAACTACGTTATATACGTCGAATAAGTGCTTATCTATCGTTCGGCGTATTTTGGCTCTCTCGTTCCGCGCGCGGATGAATGTTATTTTTTTCGAGAGGACGCCGGCGCCGTAGACGATGGAGAGGTAAGGAAAAAGGAAAAAAAAATTAAAAGAGGTAGTTTTGAGAGTTTAGAGAGAGATGGAGAGCAGCAGCAGCAGCAGCAGCACAAGCAGCAGCAGCCTGCGCTCGCGCGCTTAGCGAGACGTACTCGTTTAATTAAACGCCGCAGTGCAAGAGCAAAGTTCCCTCTCTTTTTTCGTCCCCGTCGTGCAAGCCTGAAATAAATGAGCAAGGGAGAGAGAGCGAAATTGGTAATGAAATATACTCTCTATTCGCTGTCGAAATGTTTTTCCAGCGGCATCAGCCTTCTTCCGTTCCGCGGCGTTAACGAAATCGGCGCGCGTGCGCTTATACCTTTCGAGGATAATTAATTATTCCGAGACCGCGCGGCCGACTATGAATCGAGTGCTCGCGCGCGAAACACGATGGATTGTTACGAATAAATTATATTTGTTGCGGCAGTCGCGCATTGCAATGGCAACATTCGGAGTTCAAATATGTAAACCGATTAACTTGGGTACGCCGCGGCGGGTATAACTCATACGCTCGCGGTGGTACAATTTTACCGATGAAATCATCAACGTCGCTGATAAAAGCGCCGGGGCTAGCGTGTCTACGTTCGCGAAGCACGCGTGCACGCTGGGAAAAGTCAGCATGGTTAATATCGCGGGCAGAGGGCGGCGGCCGGGAAGCGTCGAAGGATATCTGCGATTACCGATCAATTTCAGTCAGTCGGTCCGACGGCGCGCGTGAGAGGAGCGTACACGCCGGCGTTTCATAATGCGCGCGCTGCGAGACACGTAAATAAATCGATTTCCGGCACACAGTGCGCGCGCGCGCGCGCGTGCAGCGTGCGTGCTAGTATATAGACACTAAAACGCTCGTAGATCAGATGCGAAATTGCCATGGAGATCCGTCGACTGTTATTCATGCCGTAGCCCGAGCGCAATGAAGCTTTTAACGCTTTTAGAGCGAGTGCGTACGCGTATGAATATATTTTCGCAGCTATGCGTGTGCATTTCCTTCTAGCAGGAAAACTCGGCAACGCTGCCGGATAATGTTGCGCGGAGCGACGTTTATTCAATATCGTTTATATCGTGAATTAAATCCGAGAGTCGACGTCGTTGCTTGTTACTGCGAGCGTAATTCAATTTCATACTACCAGAATGTTCACGAACGCGCGTGGCTGTATGCATGACATATTTTCGCGGAAAAGAAGAAATAAGATGTAATTAGTCAAGGGACGCCTGTTAAAAACTTTCTACGTGTGATGTCTGCTTTTCAAAAAAGTAATGGACGTGCCGCGATATGCATTTCTTGCCCAAAGTATACAACTTTCAAACTCACTTTAATAATATAACACACTTTATACGAGGCAAGCATAAACTTCTTTACGGCAGTTTTATCACGGCATGGCTTTGTACTTCCCATATTTATCCCATCCAATTCCTTACGGTTATCTCATGTTTTTCTATTTATTTATTTGTCTACTGTATAAATCTGCTCAAACTCCGAATCATCAATTGTTTATATCGTTTTTTCCATTTTTCCACTAGCATGATCATGAGATATGCAGTTGTGCATTTCAACACAAAATTTACGGATTTACATCTTTAATGTTTCCGTCTCTGGGTTTAAATCAATTTTTTCAATTCAGATCTAAATGACAAAGCTAGCTTTTGATCGTCGAAAGCTAAGCTTGGAAATCTACCGAAGAGTTGCAATCTAGAGCACAAAACTTACAATAAACTAAGTTCGTTTACCATTCGAAATATAACACTGGCTATTTGTTTAACCATAAGACTATAGTAAACGTACATCCTTAATCTTAGTAAGTGAAGTACAAATAAACTCGTCCTTTTTGTTGATCGGTATGCGTTGGGCGAATGGGCGTTGACGTTTTAATTACAGGTCTGTGCGCGCGCGCGCGCGTGCGTGTGTTGTAGGTGCCATCGTTTAACGGCTCGTCGTACCTGAGATACGCGGGCCTGGGCGAGTCGTCACTGTCATGGTTGGAATTGTCGGTGACACTGAAGCCAACAAGCCCCGACGGTGTGATTCTGTATAACGGCCATCACAGCGACGCCACCGGCGATTTTATTGCACTCTACCTGCAGCAGGCCCACGTGCAATTTACGTTCGACCTGGGAACTGGATGCGCCACCTTGAGGTCAGTAATGTGTGCGTCTCTTGGCGCGATTACGTGCTTAAGCCAGGGCTAGGCCAAATTAAGCGGCTCCGAAGGGAGCGAGGGTCCCCTCTCGACTCTCGATAAAGTAACCGCGCGCGAGTCGCTCGCTTTAATTCGACGACGACGCTCATCCGCGGTGAACGACGCCGGCGAGTGCGATGAGCCCCTATCGATTGCGTATGCCGCTTCGAATGACGGGTATCCTCGAGTTGAAAATTTTAACGATTATCTCGCAGATCGACCAAAAATGGCCTACTCAGCGTCCGTGCCAATTAAGTAGTAAAAACAAAACGCGGTCAGCTGTCGCGTCACGGAGAAAGCTCCTCGGTCTGGTTAACAAAGGCTACTGAATAATGACATAACCTTCGTTTATACCTTTCGGCTGTCACGCATTTTCAACGCTTGACATTCTTTTTTCCAATATCAAATTGGTCTTCGCTATTTTACGACAACGCGTCTCCCGATAATTAACCGCGCGAATTCGTTCAAAAATCATACATTGCACGGCTTAATTTTGTATCCGGGCAGGAGGTGAAACGCGTTCGAGCCGTAAAACATACAAATCGTTTAATTATACTCGTCAATCTCGGAATATTTAACGCCGTGGGGACAAGAGGAGGGGCAGTGAAAAAAGTGGTATTATTATTACGCATTATTACGCACGCAGTACACGGGGAGCATAAATAATTCATCGCTCGTTAACGTTAATGGGCATTAAACATACGCGCTCGTACGTCGCTCACACTCGGCTTGCCTCAAACGAGGAATCGATCGTCGTAGTCGCGACCGAATATTCATGAAGAGAATCACCGACCGAGCCCACGCACGCGCACGCGCGCATGTGTGTGTAAATTGCACGTAATACGGCATACCAACAGTCGCGAGGCTGGGCGGGGGAGTGAAGGGCGCCGTGCCTTTTATTAAGCTGATAATTCATTCGACGCTTCTCGCACGCTCGGCGTGTAGCGAATATACACCTCGAGCGATGATTTCCGCCGTGAGAGAGAGAGAGAGAGAGAGAGAGAGAGAGAAAGAGAGAGAGAGAGAGGACTCGTGCTATTATGCAGATGCGCCGTGCGTGCTATTGTGAGGCGATTGTGTCACGAAAGTTTTTCGTTTTCCGTTGGTGTATAAAAGAGACAAAATGATCGCGCGCATGGAATCCCGTTGATTGTACGTATTACTTGCGTCAAATGCTCAGGATACATTAATTTATTGTAATTCGATATGAAACCGAGGTATTTAATATTATAAAGCAGTGTCATAGAATCAACTCAATTATTCTAAGAGCTTCTGTTTGTGATTTCAGTGCATATTCAAGCATATTCTTGAGCGCATTATATAAATAACGAATTCCACTTATTTCTTCTCAATATACACTACGAAATATGAGCAGTTTCATTAGAAGAGACAAAGCCTCTGAGTTATAAGAAGAGTGCTTTGGAAAAAGTTTCACATAAATATTGAAATTTCAAGAATTTCATTTCCAAGTATAACGTGAATAATACGTAATTTCTAAAAAGCTCTTTTCCTAAAATATACTGAGAACTTTATATTCTTATTTGAAATTTTCCTTTTTAGTTTTTATCTTTCGCAACTCTAATGATTTTTTTCTTAAAAATTATACCATTGTTCCAGATTTAAAATGAACCATTAATCACAAGTAGTAGTTAGCGTTGAATACCAGGCACCAACCTCATCAGCGAAATATTTATTACAGGAGTGAAAAGCCAGTGCAGATGGGCGAATGGATCGAGATACGAGTTTCGAGGACAGGGCGTCTGGCGTCCCTCGAAGTTGAGAACGAGCCAGCTCAGGAGATACTTGCTCCTGGAGCTTTCACTCAACTTTCCTTGCCTCTAAATCTGTACCTTGGTGGCGCGCCTAATGCCGAGATGTATTCACCCAAAATGAAGACCAAAGTCAGCTTCGTCGGTTGCATACAGCAAGTTGTACTCAATCGCAAGGAGGTGAGCTTTCATCAAACTCAATTAGTAGATTTCTATCGGAAATTTCGTTAACTCCAGTTGGTACGCTTACTTGGAAATGTGACTGTTGTCTGACCGAACGAAGGTTTTACTACTGACAACATTTGCCATGATTGAAAACAGTTATTTCGTATCTCCGATGCCAAGGTTAAGATAATACAACGTATTTATCGGATAAACAAGTCGTCCGCCAAAACCAATCGGCAAGAGCCAGCAAACAGAATCGCGTAAACTCCGGCGTCACTATTTTCTTATCGAGTCACAGAACCGAGGGTGAAAGAGGACGAGAGAGAAAGAGAGAGAGACTGTGTGGCTGCGAAAACCCAAACGTAGTTTGGAAATCGATTGGTCGCTTGCTCGCGAGCAAACTGAATTGACGCTGATCGAAAGTCTCTTTCTCGCTCGTAGTTTCGGGCTTCCCAATAAACAGCCGCTGCTAACCAAGAGAGTGAAAGAACTTGTAAAAAAACAAAAAAAAAGAAGTCAAGATTGGAAATGCACCAGCTCTCGGTGCTTTAGCGCTCTTGCCGAAACTTCTGGCTGTTTCAAGCTGGTGGCGCGGCTCTTTACCATTCTCACAAAGTTCACGCCCGCGAGCTGTATCGCCCAAGGTTTTTCTTTCGTTAGATAAACAGCGTTACGAGTGCGTCACTGGCTAAACAAACCGGGGAGGGATAATCGGCTAGTACGATAGGCAACTTTTGTCGGGCGAGTTCGAGGAGTAATCGGGTTGCTGAGTTTAATACATTGAAGCAATATTTATTTGGCGAGCATTTTCCATTAAAACCTCGTACGTGTGGCGAGCGCTAATTACCAAGCTGTAATTTCCAACGCTATCAGCTCATTGCATATTGAGCAAGTGTGGCTCGGCGCACATAGTATGAGTATATTACTTGGGAGTGCAGTAAGCCGTTTCTGCTGCCACCAATATTTCGTGTGCAGTTCACTGAAAAGGTCACGTTGATGCACGAAGGATTACTTAATCGTATTTGAGATTAACACTTATTTCACAAAGAGATCGGGACTGCTATTTTCGTAACTTTTGACTTTCAAGTTATTATGCTATTAAAGAGTCATTTTCCATTCGGTTATTGGGTTATTGGTAAACGCAGTTAAATGGATTTCAGTCTTTGTGCAAATTCAATAAATTAGTTATATTTTTAAGTAGTTATAGATAGAGGATAATATATGTTACAATAATTTATTAGCCTTATCATTAAATCAATATAAATGCACGGGTACATTATTATCAAAGTATGAAAACCAAATTGAAAGCCGATCCGTGTTCAACATTACAAGATGAATATTTAAAAAAAGACCTCGAAGCAACACGAAAACGCACTTTCACTTGAGCACGTACATTCGACAATCGATCGCTGTGCGCGCGTTTTTTTTCAGATCGGTATCCTAGCGGAAGCACTAGGCGGTGTAAACGTTGGAAACTGTGGCCACGCTTGTGAGGCACGTCCGTGCGGCGACGCCGAGTGCAGACCATTACGCGATCGCTTCACCTGCCGCTGTCGACCTGGACTACCACATCCGTGCCCAGCGCCCGACGAGACAAGTCTACCGCATACAAGCCACCTAACACCCGAGCCTATCAGCAGCGTCACTTTACAAATGATGTCCACAAGCAGCTCGCCGATAACGCAGTCAACGGTGCCGAGCTTCACGGGAATGGAGAGTTACTTGCATTTTGATGATGCAGATACGATGAAGAGGTGAGACACGAATCGATCGGCACTGGCTGATAAGACAATTAAGTTCTGGCGTTTAGCTTTTCTTAGACGGTGTTCAGTGGAATGTAGGTTTCAAAATGATTCTTTTGAAAGCTTTCTCTCGAAATATGAGTTTTGGATAAAAAGCCCGATTTCCAATAACGATCCAACAAATCAACAGTAATTATATCCTACATTAGCTGCGCACTTTTATTTTACAATACGAACCTGCGCACGTGTGCAGTGCAGATTACGTATCCGACAATCGTTGAATTAGCGTAATGACTATTGTGTGTTCGGCAGGATAATCAGCTATAATTTGGACATAAACATGCGGTTCCGAGCGAGTAGCAACAGCGGACTGCTGTTATGGAGCGGAAGGCAATCGAATCCGCAAGAACAAAGGGATTCTAATGAGGACTTCCTGGCGCTTGGACTCGATCAAGGTTATCTCACTCTCGCCTACAACCTCGGCTCTGGCGAGGCTGTGCTTAGATACAATCTCACGAGATTGGACGACGACCTCTGGCATCGTGTCCGCGCTGTCAGGTGAATCTCGATTTTCGATTTGCAACTTCCAATTTGGTTTGCGCGATCGCTCAAAAATGGGTTGCGCGTTACAGAAATGAACGGCGAGCTTCGCTCGTAGTAGACAACGGCAACGGAGTTTCCGCCGAATCACCGGGACAATTGAGACAACTGAATACGGACACTGGCCTCTACATCGGTGAGTTGGCATGGAAATGCCTTGGTTGTCGTAGTCGAGGCAATCCATATATGAGCGAAAACTTTAAACACGATGACGCTTAGGAGGCGCACCGAGCATCTCGAGGACGACAGGTGGTCGTTACATGAAAGGCATTGTCGGGTGCATAAGCGACTTGGTATTAGACTCGGACTACTCGGTGTCTCTATCGTCGCCAGGCCAAACGACCAACACGCACACCTGCATTCCCTGAGTGCCGCACGAACTCGAGCTTAACAACGACTACACGCTCCTGGGCCAGCGATAGAAGACAAACAGTGGCTGTCTTGTCCCCCACTCCTCCTCGTCCTCCTCTCCTCATCCTCCCCCTCATCCCCCCTCATCCTTCCCCTCGTCCTTCTTCTTCTCCAGACTTATTTGTCTCGTTCGCGATAGCAAGTATGCCACGGCAAACGCAATCATTTTGTAAATATTATTAGCCCACCCTACGCATTCGACGCACGCGATCGAGTGGACTCAATATTACAATTATGCTGAACTACGATATTACTGCTCTACTCTTGCTGATACCTTGTCGCACGATTCTGTGCGATGCTGTACACGATGGGCATAGCGCTTACTTCGCCTTCCGTTTGCCATTCTTTTCCACGGTGTCGTTCTTGTTTGTTAGCAAGCGTACACTTTCCCCACTCTAATGATGCTAGTAACAGTGTATAGAATACGTCCGTACACATTGATCACAGATAAATTAGTAAAAATAGTTCTTTTTAGCGACCAGAGAGATAAAACGCATTGATATAGCAGAGTGTAATATTTTCTACGATAAATAAAATCAATGCAACTTATTTAGCCTCCGATCAAATGTCACTCTATGATGTACGTCTTCGAGACTCCGTGACGTTTCTTTTTCCTTTCCACAAAGTAAGTTTCGCTTACTTTATTCTCATTTGACTTACATATAGGATGCATGTCTATTGTAATAAACGTATAAAACGCGAGTGCGTGGTGAAGACGGAAGCTTAGAAAAATTGTATTTTAGATAAGCCAAAAGAATAGTCAAACTTTTTCGTGGACAACTTCGTCTCTAAAGTACATTTTTTCTTCGGCACTTGATTCAGTGTTACTTTTGCAACAGTTTGCTAATGGGATAAGTGAAATATTAAATACTGAATAGGCCTAAGCAAGATAAACAGATAAATTAGGACGTTATTGAGTCGAAAGTGTAATTACGCGTTCGCATCTTTTTCGAAATTCAAAATCGTGCTTTGATTACTTTTATTGCTGGTAAATTTGAATGGCGATTATAAGACCGTTTTTAAAAAAATATTTGATTGGTAATTAGAAATTCAGAAAGAATTTACGAAATGTGATAAGCCCACATCATATGTTGTGACATCAGTCATATACGAGCTTTCTGTCCTTTATTAAATATGGATACAAAAGAAGTGACATTGAAAAGATTTTTTAAGAGTACAACCAAGCAAACTAGATATTAAAAAATAATATCGAAAGATACCTACGAGAAGCTAAATAAATAAATCAAACCACAAGGTTGTTTGAGAACTTGAAGATTCAATTAAAATTTGTATATCATACGATAAGAAAGAGGTCAATACGTATTGCATCATATCGTAAATGTAAAGCAAATATTCTAGGAAAGAAAACAAAGACTCAAAATGATCTTGCAGATATATTAGCAAAAAGAGTGAAAAAGAAAACACGTGTATCGTCACGGAAAAAGTTATTTTGAAGCACCTTTCCCTAAACCACATCGTAGAAGCAATCGGCTGTAGTCAATTTTGTACAAGTGTTATTTTCTGGAATATATATATAAATATATAAATACATATATACATAAATAGATAGATATATATTATAAATATGAAAATTAAGTTACTAACGGTATAAATAATATGGAGGAAGATAAAATGCAGTCTGCACCAAAATAAAAAAATAAGTGAATTGATGCCGGCGAAACTCGTAAAGAACACGCAATTTTGCAAAGCTTATCACGCATTTGTTATTCAATTTAAGTAAAGTATGAAAAAAATATGTAAATTATTATTGCTTTATCTGAGGAATCCTATTCCAATACGGTGAACAATGAATATATTGAAAAGTGGTAAATATCCTTTGTCAAAACTAATATTTTCCAATTGCAATAATACATAGAATCTTAAAAAATCACTGAACAGAGTTTCCTTCATCGAGATTTCAAAGTGATCAGTCAAATAGTTTTTCAAAAAGTATAATAATTTTAAAACTTTTATCATGTTTTACGCAAATAGATCTCATTAAATTTATTGAAATTTTGAAATATTTCCTATGAAAATAATCTACCAATTATATATATGAAATGATAATGTTTTGTAATCAAAGTTATTTACAATTATTAGTTATTACAAATAAAATAAAGTTCCAAATAAGTGATCTCAATAAATAAACTCTGTTTCTATAAAATAATTAATATTAAGTTGAGTCGTATGTAATAATGAATGAAATTATAATCAATAAGAATGACGAAAAAATAACTTATTAAAAAGTTATATATCACAATTCAAAGCAAGATATTGATTTAAAGCAATAAAGTCTGTTAGTTAAATCATTTATTATTGATCCAACGGGATAATAAATTTCTTTTATTAGCGTATATAAATAGATAATTAATGAACGCAGAAACTCTATCGTTATATGCTTTCGAAGTTCAATTGAGCAAGTCTTCTAAAATGATTTCCTTGAACGGAAATCTAGCACACATTAAGTGTACATAAAAAAAGTATCGATATGAAACAAGAATATGTGTATTGAATGTACGAATAGATGATTGTATTAACATAAGAAGCATATAAATTCAAAATGTACAGAACATTTTGCAGTTTTCAGCTGAAAAGCCGCTCTATACTGAAACTACATCTTCCGCAGCGATGAACGTTTGATAAAAGAATTAAAATGATAATAACTCGTAACTGAATTCTTTGCTAGAAAGGTGAAGTATTAAAATCAAAGAGAATGTAAGCTGAAAAGGTCCTGTACGAGAAAAGCTATACATAGTATTTCTATTATGTCCGTCTGCAAAGTCTATTAGAAGAGTCTATCCAACCTGATCCTTTACGATTTCAGAGCAAAGCAAGCACGTGTGAGTTTCCTCTGTGTAGTGAACGAAAAGAATGGCTGATATATTAGGAGAAAGTGTTATGGATCGTTGCTAAATAGCTAATTAAGTAAGCAAGCGACAATGTCATTTTTTGTCAAAGAATAATGTATACTTTGTCACGAATTTCACTGTAAATAATTCATCATAATTTTTGGTGGTTTTATAATATAAAAAACAAGAAAGAAAACAATGACAAAAAAGATACGTCGACTGCACTTTTCCGTAATATCACATATCACAGCTTGGCGTCTTAAGCACAGAGACGTTAAAAGCAAACAAAATCGATGGAAAACTCAATTTCGACTGCTGACTTTTTCACCTAGTGTAATTATTATTTGTCATTCATCACGAAAATACTGATACCGATATACTTTTTAAGCTATGAGAGTGTGTGTATCATGGAACGTGTGAAATAGAAAATTTTTAAGTGAAAATCGAATCGAAAAACTGCTTAACAATCAATCATTTAAGTTGATTAGAAAATTACAATGTCGATGATTAAATCTACGATAAACTCGGTTGATGTTACGTATACGCTCTCAATCATTGTTTTTTCAACGTTTTTGTTTTAAATGTATCTTTGATTAAAACCATTACGTCCTAATGAATAGGCATATTATTCATAAGAGAACTGAAAAAGTTGCACTGATTATTTAATACATTAATATCAAAATATATCAGGTGTGAAAATCACGTATGATCGATTGCAAAAGAGCACACATAATTAAACTGATTGAACTAAAAACTATCGGGCACCTTTGCTTATGAATAGGTATATCCATCAAATATGCTGAAAAACCATGTTTGTTTATTGCACGTGACTTTACACTTACGTTGCGTATTCTCATGGAGATCGTGATGCTTTGATGTAACGAGCGGGAAATCCATGTGAAGAAAAGTGTTTTTCGGTCCAGGTTGTCAAATATCATTAATAAAAAGAGATTTTATAAAAATACAACTCGTTTCTAATCATTTTATACCAATTTCTATCGCTTGTTTTAATAAGCAACCTTACAATTTCTAGTGATTCATCAATAAAAAAATTGTTTTTCCGGCATACGCTGATGAAAAAGAGATAGTTCACGTAGAAAGCTATACTGATTTATTATTTTACATGAGATCCCATAAATGATATAATGATTTCAGTTTAAATCAATCTATCACTGGAGTTATCATTTAGTCACCGTATGTATTTCATACAAGTAACTATAATTGGTGTTCTTCCAAAAGTGTTTTTAAAACAAGTTTTCAAAAGTTCATTCGACATCATTTCTGTCGATGAATCACACTATTTTTCTGGGATGCTGGGTTCGTCACAGATGCAGAAATCTAGCAACCAATGCCCATCAACCCGTTATGAATTATTTAACAAACGGGAGAACTATCCGTTGTAATTTTATCTAAATATCGCTCGATTTTCCGTACAAAGAATTGCAGATACATTTTTAAAGATAACTCTAATTTAGAAATAATTCTGTACTAAAAATTATCTTTTAGCTTATAACTTTATTTTCCGAAAGTCATTATTAGAACAGACTAAAAATATTTATTTTTCCAGAAAAATGTTATCTTAATTCAACATCGAAGTCGCAAACAATTTTTTCAATATGAAGAAATTGCTCGCAGTTTTCTACTAATACATAAATTAATCCGATCCACTTATAACGTGCATTGTGTATATTAGTTTCTTAGATTTGCAACTCTATGTTTGTGTTATCTTTTTGGTCGAACTTTATAACTAGACAATGGTTTCTACTTGAAGTATTATATTGATGAAGACCCGTAAAAAATTGCAAACGAAAATATAAATTAAGGTTACTTATTAATTCAAAGTATTATTAATAGATATCCCTAATAGGGTCAATCTCCTCTCTGCATTTACAAGGCTTGAGACTTGCACTTTAATGAATTTTCATTCACGACCGCGACGGCATTACAAGTTGAAGTATTTAAATTTTTCCGACTGACAGATCACTTATCACTTTCTACACGGTACTGTATATTTCATTATTTAGTATTTTGTATCAATTTCTAACTGAACTATAATATATTATAAAATAAAATATTTTCCTGTATTCTAAATAAAATATTGCTAATGTTCGAAACTTTTGCGTATTCAAGATATTAAAATACAGTAAAATTAATGATATACAAATAGTGTTTTAGAGTGTTAGACTGAATGTATTTTATGTTATATATAATAATGAAAAAGTATTTTGCTTGTACCTATTACCAATCGAATGTTGTAATATTGTTGTGTCTTAGTTTACTGAATTATTCATAGGTACTGCATTATTAATTGAATTTTAACATATTTTACAATAGCTTACAGATTTGCGTTTCTTTGTAAAAAGAGTTTATCATTTGTCATGGTCGATAGACTTAAATCTGTGCAGTACATTATATCACTGTCATCAAAACTCGTGCGAAAAGTACGACTTTGCAGCACGCTCATCCAATGTACTATCAGGATGTACCACGAGGTTCAATCTCGAGTGTTACATTATTTTTAATCGAAATAAATGATCTGTACAAATACATTATAGTACCTACCCTGCATACTTTCTTCGCCGATGATCTTATAATATTTTTAAAAGGAAAAAACATAACTACATCACAGAGATTATTACAAGTTCTTGACAACCTTAATGAAATTTCCAAAACAACTGGATTCATATTTTCCGCGACAAAAACCAAAACGATTATCTTTTCAACTAATCAAAAAAGCAACAAAAATATCCAACTCCAACTCAAACACCAAATTATGAAAGATGTTGACCAAATAAAAATACTAGGTCTATTATTCGACTAAAAATTATTATGGAAAAACCACATAGAAAACTTAAGAAGCCAATGAACCCAACATATGAACATTCTTAAATACTGTCAGCACAAAACTGGGGCTCATCCTAACAAGTTTTAAGCAACACATATAAAGCTCTTGCCTAATCTAAAATTGACTATGGATGTATAGCTTACAATTTAAACCGACAACACATCCTAAACAAACCAAACCCCGTACTTAACAAAAGTATGGAAATTATTATAGGAGCTCTCGCCACAAGCCCCACCAACAGTATTCTAAGCGAAAATAAAATAGATCCACTTAATATCTTAAGAGCCAAACTAACTCTTAATTATGCAGCTCGAATCTTAAACTTGTTGCTTAACAATCAAATCCACAAACTAATAAACAAAGTCGTAGAACCGTAGAAGAAAAAACTCTAAGTTTCATCCGATCTACGAGAGTTAAGCAATATGTACATACTAGAAATCAGCCTAAGCACTGATCTAATCTTAAAAATTATCAAGAACAGATCTACGTCAAATAAATTTTGCGTACTTCTCAATATTTCAGAAAAACTAAATTACAATAAAACAGATGATTTGAACCACATAGTCATTAGTGAAATAATCAAAACCACCAATCAATTCTAAATAGTATACACATCACATAAATCGTATTCAATTTGACGATGTTCAAAGATTAATTAAAAAAATTCAAAGAAGCACGGAGCACACGTTAAAAAGAACAAATCAAACACAACCATATTCAGAAAACCAAAAAAAAATTTCTACGTTACGAATCCAGCTATAAAATTAAACAAAAGAAACCAAATAATAATCTCTACGCATTGGACACACAGCAATAACTCATCAACACATTTTCAAAAAAGAAGAACCTCCTATTTATGATATCCGTGACATAAAACTAACCATATGAACATATACTGATAGAATGCCCAAAATACAATTCTCAAAGAAAAAAATTCAATATAGCAAACAATTTAAAAGACAATCTAAATGAAAAAACATAGTGCGAAAAAACTATACATTCTATTGACACAAGTAACTTTAGAAATATAATATAATATAATGACCTTCCGCAACTAACACCAATATAAATACAATTAAAAAAATTTTCAACAAACTTTAAAGTTAATGTAAAAGTTTCATGTAATATGTAAAACAATTATATGTAAATTGTTGTACTAATGCATATGTCACTAATACCTGCCAAAGGTGCCTTGCCAAACAATAAATAAATAAATAAATAAAAAATTAATATCAACCACAAATTAATTGTTTAGCGTTCATACTTCATATTTTTATTTACATAAAACAATCTCATTTGGAAAATGTTATAATAAATCAAAAATTTATTTATCATAAATATTCTCATAACAATTAAAATAAGAATAAAATAAATTTAATTACTTAGTCTTCAAACCTAAGTTTCCGAGAAAGATTTAATTTAGCCTAAGCACAGTTAACAGACCTTAGCTATTCAGCGGCCACAAATTAAATTCTGAACTGAAGTCATCTTCAATTCAGGTCGCTAAATTTTAGGTCCCGGCATGGAGACTATATATACAGGAGTGGAAGCACCATGGTAAGCACAATGTATAAGCCATCAGGTCCAAAAAGTTAGCACCCAGAATCCTTTTTTTTAAGCTAATCGATAAACTAATTATACCGTTAGATATTTCGTCAGGATAGCAACAACTGTTCTCTTTGTCGTTTGTTGGTTCGTACACTGGAAATCCTTAAAATTAATAAAATAAGTCTTAGGTGCTGACCTTAGCACCCAAACCAAAGTTGCGGTCAAACCTAGAAAATATTAAGTAAAAAAATTCGTAAGTAAACCGATCGTTAGTTCGTCTTACGAACTAACAGCACTCATAATAAAATCATGACTAATTTGATTATTTAAGCAACTAAAAATAAAAAACTGTTTCGAATATTGGCTCACGTTCAAACGCCAAAGTGCGGTACGCATGCTTCCTGAATTATCCCCGCCGGTACCCGAACCCCCGCTCTTATTTTTTACTACACCTGTTTGATTTTAATACATCAGATCAAATCAAACTTTATAGTAACATTAGTAAACATTAGTAACTAGTACCTATTGTCCAATCAATGGGTAAATGGAATTTAAAAAAGTTACGCTTGACGTATTAATTACTCAAGTACGTAAGGAATTGTTCAACAGTGGCACTGGTAACTAAATAGCACACGAGCACACCGGTTTTTGTTTGAACACTTTTTTAACCTAAAAAAGTAGCTATTGTGATAAATTCATACTAAAAGTGCACTTTGCTAAATATTACAATAGGTACTAGTTACTAATGTTACTATAAAGTTTGATTTGATCTGATGTATTAAAATCAAACAGGTGTAGTAAAAAATAAGAGCGGGGGTTCGGGTACCGGCGGGGATAATTCAGGAAGCATGCGTACCGCGCTTTGGCGTTTGAACGTGAGCCAATATTCGAAACAGTTTTTTATTTTTAGTTGCTTAAATAATCAAATTAGTCATGATTTTATTATGAGTGCTGTTAGTTCGTAAGACGAACTAACGATCGGTTTACTTACAAATTTTTTTACTTAATATTTTCTAGGTTTGACCGCAACTTTGGTTTGGGTGCTAAGGTCAGCACCCAAGACTTATTTTATTAATTTTAAGGATTTCCAGTGTACGAACCAACAAACGACAAAGAGAAAAGTTGTTGCTATCCTGACGAAATATCTAACGGTATAATTAGTTTATCGATTAGCTTAAAAAAAGGATTCTGGGTGCTAACTTTTTGGACCTGACGACTTATACATTGTGCTTCCACTCCTGTATATAGTCTCCATGGGCCCCGGTCACATAGGTACACCCAACGTGAATTGAATCGCGACCCCCTTAGTTAGGTTAGTATGAGAATTCCGTCGTTGCATCGGAACGAAGAAACCGCGGGAAAATTCTATTGTAGATAGTAAATAAATAAATAAATAATAACAACTTATCTAAATGCCAGCATAACGATAAATCCTTGCTGAAGCAAAAGCAGGTAAAAGCACAAAAAACTCGGAAGAAACATTTAAAATAGACATGTGTAAACAGACTTTTTCAGGTCTGCTATTCGAGCTTTGATTTTGACTGCTACTTTCAGTCCGTAACGGTGGTTTTCAGATCGGCCATAACGCTATCACTGTCATAATCCAATAACGCTCATTCTTAAATTATATAATTAAAACCTAAAATCAAATAATCATGCATCTAAATTCATTGTTCGGCAAACAATTAATTTTAAACCTAAAAACAAATTAGTAACGTTTTAGCTTTTTGTCGTATCTTAAAAAGAATTTTCATTTTTGAATTTTCCCGCGGTTTCTTCGTTCCGATGCAACGATGGAATTCTCATACCAACCTAACTAGGGGGGTCGCGATTCAATTCACGTTGGGTCATGGGTGTACCTATGTGACCGGGGCCTTAATCGTTCCAGCCTTGCTCACAGCAGCAAATGTATTATATGTGCGTGTGTGTATATGTGTGTGTGTGTGTGTGTGTGCGTGCGTGTGTGGTCTTGCCCATCTTTCCGCAACAAGCACGAGGAGGCGCCGCTTCTCGGACAACCGCGCGACGAGCACGCAAGTAAATTCTTGCTCCTCGCAGTGTACACAATGGCGCAGAGATGAAAAAAGTGGAATAAAATGGATGCTCTGTAATAAAAGAATTTGTTAAAAGTGCTACAACAGCAATGACGGCTCGTGATCCTAACAATCTTATGAATACAGACAACGTTGACGATAGTTTCGATTACATGTTTAAAATTATTATGCTTGGTGATTCTGCCACTGGCAAAACATGCATTCTAGACAAATTTAAAACAGAAGATTTGAGAAACAGGTATACCATGACTCTGGGACTTGATTTAGTGACGGAGATCATCATCGTCGATGACAAGAGAGTTAAGGTTTGTACACATGTGGCAATCGTAACTTACTTTGCCTTTCAGTTTTGCGGCTCATTACACCTGTTCTAGTAGTAGTTTTATGAGATATAAAAAAACTGATTTACTTGCATACTGAATACCTTCATGGTCATTCCGTGACTCCAATTGCGTACAGTTATTCATCTACTTTTTTTTCTTTTCTAGCTCCAAATTTGGGATACTGCTGGCCAAGAAAGGTTTCGTTCAATAATGCAAAGCTATTACAGAACTGCTCATGGAGTGATTTTAGGTACAAAAGATAAATAATTCAACCACTCCTGCAAATTTTATTTTTATATTTATTTTTTTAAATGGTATTTATAATTCACAGTGTATGATATCACAAAACGTCCAACATTTCTAAACTTAGAAAAATGGTTTGATGAGATAAGAAGGAATACCTCTTTAAATTCACTTGTAATTTTAGCCGGCAAGTATTGAAAATCAATAGAATTCTTTTGATTTAACTTTTTGTAGTTTTATTAAAATATTTTTATTTCAGGTAATAAATGTGACATGGAATACGCAAGACAAGTTACAAAATCAGAAGGTGAAATAGTATGCAAATTTATTCCCGAAATATTTCACTTTATAGAAACTTCTGCAAAGGAGGGCACAAACATAAATTCCATGTTTTACTGTTTAGCTTCAGAACTAATAGTAATATAATTTTTATTATTATTGATATTTTATTTTATTTATTTATTTTATTTTTATTATTTTATTGATAAATCTTAAAAAGTTGGCTTTCTTATTTTGTGATACTGAAAATTGATTGTTATTGTTTTATTGTCTGTTTAATCTTAATATATTTTAGTAAGTATTAATTTACATATTCCAGAAGCGAGATAATCAATCAAATACAAATAGAAATGAAAACGATATTAATTTAAATAAAAATCGTGGATTACCTCCAGAAAAAAAAAAAAATTCTTGTTGCTGAGGATGGTAAGTTATTTACTCACTATAATAAGCTTATAAGTGTGTTTGAAGAATATATAAACTAGCTTTAATCTTTTTATATTGTGATGTATCAAATCTAAAGATTTTGTAACTTTATAAAGCATTGAATTTGCAAAGTTCATATCAATCAAACTATGCAAATTCTTAACTATTCACATTAAACACAAATAAAATGCTGTATATTTATTGATTTCAAAAAAATGATTAGACTTTCTAAATAAGGAGATATCGGACGTGTACCTAGATTACCTAGATTATCAAGTTAAAAAACAAATTGTTTAAAATCTGTTCGTGTCCGTGAATTGGCACAATGCGAGCAATGACAAAAAAAAATCTATAAGATATACTATATTAATATTATTAATACAATAATATATCATTTAATTATCTTTTTTCACCATGGTTGATGTCTGATGGCCGATTTCCGACGTCCGATGTTTTCTTATGTAGAAAGACCCTGAATATTTTTTCAATTTTAAAGTATCAACCTTACTAAGTTGATACAAATATTAAAGCTTTTAAAATAAAAAATAGAGATATCATGAATCTTATTACTTCATTTCAACTTTTAATATATTTGATTTTCATTTAATTAGGTGGCCGTAATGAATATTTGAATTGTTATTTATTGGAATCCGATGAAAACAGATAAATTTCATTTGAAATACCACCGAAAGTTATTTGACCTCAAACGCTGTCAATTACAAGAGTTAGCTTTATAATGGTAATTATAACCTTTATGATCTTATGTTAAACCTCATTCTTTTAAAATATCGTCAATAACTTCTTTAATTACGAATTTTTTGAGTTGAAAATTGTTTCTAAAATATTTCAATTTTTTAATCATTTAAACTGACTGTAACTGATCTATTTAAGAAAAACTCATTTTGAGATGTAGCATTTAAGGGTAACAATTGTCTTTAGAGAAGGAATCACGATGCCTGTCCTGCATTGCAAATTAATAATATTTCAAATACCAATTTTTTTGGAATTAGTTTTTGAAATAGAAGACATGTGATAAACATAGTGTTTCGATTTTATACTCAGACATTAATAATTTATACATTAGAAGCACTTTAAAACGCAGCATATAATATAGATATTTTTAAGAAATATTTACGAGATATTTTGTTTACCTCAATGATTTGATTTAACTAGAATACTAGTGCCTCTTTCTAAAAATGAACAAACAATGTTACTGTGCATTGATACGTGATTCTCTTTATTTATGTATAAAAAACGATTTATAACATTTTGAATATTATTCTATTAAAAGTCATTTGTTATTGTACAAACGAACTTACTAATATTGTTTAAATATTTGTAGAACTGTACTTGAATAAATAATACTAAAAGTGAAGTGCATTGTTATGAATTATTTAACAAACAATAAATATGTTAAATAGCTGTCCTATATATTTAAAATTACTTTTCATTATTGTTGGCAAAAATTAATTGTTGATTCGGCAATCTATTTGTATCACAGATAACTTTGGACAAAATAAACAAAAACAAAAATAACATAGTAAAAGTTTATTACATAATTTTGGACTTGATATATAAATTAAAACAATATTTTTTACGACCTTCACCATTAATTTTATGTATAAAAAACATTTTTTTAGCACTGATATCAATAAAATACACTATATCAGTTTTTGTGCTACACAAAATAATATTTGTATTTTTTTATCTTGAATGAATTATTGATATAAATTTGTTTTCTAGTAATAACAATTGTGTACAAATATCCATGTATAAGGGTTAAATAATCAAAAAATAATGATGTAACAAATGATATTTGCAAAATGTATGTTTTTATAAGCCTAATTATTGAAAAATTCTCAGCAATATAAATTATTTACAATGGTAACAGTTACCATCTTGACCTTTACTAATTCATGTTTTTTAGTCTATAAACGTTATTGATTGAAAGGCACATTAGAAATGTTCAATTTCCTTATTAGTAGATTTACAAATATACAAATATAAAGTTGGTCTATATATCAACAGACTTATTTGGTGTACAATATTGACAAAAGTGAATACATGTATCTTTTGACTGGCTCAATACTTGGAGAAAATATGCTTACAATGTAATTGCAATAGTAACGTATTAATATACATCCAACAAAGCAGATGTTTGACTAAAACATAAACAGAAACATCTGTAAAAAGACAGTAAAAGAATCCTTCAAAACAAAAATTTCAAAGTTAAGACTTATGTATAGTCACTCAAAAAAATCTGCATTAAATTAACTAGTATCCAATGTAGGAGGTGTATGCATGAGGTATGTATGAAGTGTTAAATTATTTATAAACAAATACATAATTTGGTCACAATACAAATTTGAAAAATCAAATAACCACAAACGTTTTTCCTGTTGCAATTAAGAAAAAATACAAAAACTATTTCAAGTTCGGTACTCTTTGATAAGTTCTTCTGTACATTTCATCTACTCCAATAAGGTAATATGTTCCCGGGAACATATTGTCAATACTGCTTTGTGGTTCAAAAGGTATGACGTGACAATTTTTTTCTCTAGCAGCTAAAATTGTTGTGTATTCCTGTGGATGAACTTCTCTTCTAGTTTCCAACTCAGTCTTAACATAAGACAAGTTTGTGAGTAATCTTCTGAGAGATGAGTCTGCACCTATATCTTTTATGATTGTTAATGAGTACATACTAGAGGCAAGGCCAGATCCATAAGAAAATAGTCCTACTTTATTACCAGCCAGAGCTTCAATGGGCTTATCAATCAAAAATGATACAAGACCAGAATAAACTGATGGAGTGTACATATTTCCAACTTGATTGGCTATGAACAAACTTGGTTTTGTTTTCTTTTCAAAGTCATTTTTACTGGATGTCATGAAAGCTTTCTCTACATCTCTATCAAAATATGTGTCCTCAAGTGCAATATTGCTGAATTTCTGTAGATCAGCATGATTTTCAACAGTCTTACTTTTAGAAGAATTAACATAGTCAACTAATGCTAATCTAGCAAATGACTTTTGAACAAGCTTGCAGTATGGTGAATGAAAAAGAACAGCATCAAAATAGCTCAATGTTATGTCATGATTGGCTGTCTTTGCCTTAGCTTTTTCACAATACCTCTGGTAACAGGTATCCAAAGAGCTGAGATAGCACTGAATAGAGAGCTTTCCATCAACAACAGGGTATTCAGAGCGCAAATCTGGTTTGTAAAAGTCATATACGTGTCTCATACAAGAAGCACGAAGGCCACGGTCAAAAATCAAAGGAGCATCAGGACCCACGAGCATGGCAATGGCTCCAGCACCTCCTGTGGGTCTTGCACTACCAGGTGCATAGACAGCATTATCAGCAGCAACAACGATAGCTAACCTTCCATCCCATGCACTACTTTCTATCCAGGAAATAGCATTAAAGAGAGCTGCAGTTCCTCCATAGCAAGCATTGGTTGTATCAATGCCCTCTATGTCTGTATTCCCAGAGGGTTCAAAAAGTTGCATCAGGCATGATTTCACAGACTTACTCTTATCCAAAATTGTTTCTGTGCCAACTTCTAGTCTTCCAATTTCCTGTGGATTAATTTTATATCTGTCCAACAGACGGTGAACCACTGTCAAGCACAATGAATTGATGTCTTCTCTATCGTTGCAAAATCCCATTTTGGACTGTCCCAGACCAATTGTGTATTTTCCAGCTGACACACCATCAAATTTTTCCAGTTCAGTCTGGTCAACAAATTGAGCAGGGAAGTAGACTTCCATAGCTTTAATTCCAACATCTTTAGGCCACATGATTGCACTTTCAAACGGCAAAATTTCTCAAAAAATCAAAATATTAAAAAAAAAAAAGTTCAAAAGAAAAGCTGTCGCAAAAGTATCAAAATTTCAACGACAGTCAATCATAGAACTCTTTACATCATTATCCAAAGACAAGTGCACTTTTACGTAACGTTGCTTGTACTCGAGGTAAAAGGGTACAAAAAAAGCCGAAAGATAGAACAAGAACAGGCTGAGCTCTACGAGCTGTCGTCGAGTGCGCGTGAAGAGAAGCCGGAACGCGCGTGAATCGGAAATGAGGTTAGAAGTGAAACTTGTGAAAATCACGGTCACTAGGTGAGGAAGGCCCCTCTCACAAGTTGCGCGCCCTCTCCTTTTTTTCGGGCTGTGGCTCTGTGTGACCCACAAGAAAGAGTGACAGAGACTGTGAAATCCACTGTTGGAATTTCACTTTCCTCGAACGCCTTTGCACGCGCGCCACACGACTGTCGACTGTACACCTCAAGACCCGGCAGCCAAATGCATGGGACGTCCACGCGCCTTTGCGGAGCAGTCGACGCACGCCTTCCTTTCCCTCTCCCAGCTGCGCTTATGAATACGTATATATATATATATATAGACTATTGTAGTATACTTATACTTTTTAAAATTTAGTGTTACTGTTTTCTTTTGAGCATAAGCACGAATAAAATTAACATTACAAAGTTCTTTGGTAACTGATTGAAAAGCGAATTCGACAGAGATTTACAGCTTGATCAGATTCGTAAAAAGCATATTTGTGTCCGAGAATATTACTTGTACATCCCACAGAGAACTCAATTGTAAAAAGCTTGAAATGTATTCTTTACACATTACGATGTCAAACTCAATTGTTGGGCATTTTATCGTAGCTTATGCTTTCGAAGGATCTGAACAGGGAAAGATAACATACGAATATTTGTAGTACAGAATTGTACTTCTAAACGTCTTCGTCTCGAAGAATTCTCAAACGTGTCATTGTGTCAGTTCTAATACAAGTTGATTCACTAAACATAGATGATGACTGTTAACGAGTACAATATGTAAAATTGAATTTTGCAATAGGTAGCGGCAAATTTCTTAACAGAGTTGTTTGCAATGAAACAGTTTTACGATTGACAATCTATCATTATTTCGCTAGCTGCTTCGAACTGTATTATCATCCATTTTCTTTTTTTTTTCTAACAGCCAGTTACATTTCAACGGACATACGCAAAAAAGATACAACACAGTGGTCAGTATTGCGCTTTGCACTCATGCGAGCTTGTTACATAAACGCACGGCAAATTAATCGTGTATCCATCCCGTTCAATGATCTGCACCTAATCCAATTTTTGTCCGAAAACTTGCAGCTGTCTAATTTTTCTTCGCGCTCGACAGCCTCGACACTGACAAAAATTTTATCACCGACCAGATAAGATTTTATCACGATGTAAAATGAGCGTTCGACTGGAGAAGCACCGCGAGTATTCTTTCCTTGTCGAAGAATAAAAAAGACGATATTATCGGTTGGAGTGCGCGCGGACACGAGCGCGTGACACTCGAGTGCATTGTCAAACTCGACCTTTTCTCTAGACGCATACACGCGATAATGGACGCGATGTATACGTGGTCGGCGAGCAAAAATAAAACGTGACGTACACGCGAAAAAAAAAAGCCAATTTGAAAATATTTATTTCCAAGCGCGATGTTAATTAATGTTGATATCGACTTTTACGAAATGGTACGTGTGATCCAACGCTCGAATAAGCCGCAAGGGAAGGGATTCACGAAGGAATGCAGCATTTTCGACGAGTCATAGACTTAATAGACAATGATTCATGGGTTCGATGTTCTACTTATTTAGAATCATTTGTCTCGCCGCGTTTATCTTACTCTATTGGATGGTTCTCAGTGTACGATTTGTTTTTGAAAATTAATCGAACTGCGCGACTCGATTTCAAAGTCAATTAGATAGCAAAGGTATTTTATCGTTCGCGCTACATTTTGTTGTTTAACATTTTGACATTCATTAGTACAAGTGAAAATTGTTTGCTATCGTGAAGTGATAGCGGTGCGTGATTACGAATATAACAATACAGTTGTAACTGAAATTATTTGAGAAATCTCATTGATTTTACGCATTTTTCCAGTGAAAGCACTCGAAAGCTAATCAAGTCAATTAAAACGACATTTTTCTGGAGAGCGTTAAATACGTTTCGACAGTTAAATTCCATTGCAACTTACTCTATAAAAAATATTTCAAGCAGGAAAACATAAGTAAAATAACGTCTGGATAAACGATTGGACTCCAATTACTCAAACGTCGAAACTATCTATCGTGAAACGATGTAGAACATCAGTGCAACTTGACAGGTTATTCTTAGACAAAGCATTATCGCCTTACATTCAGTGTGAGTGTAAAGTTCGTGCCACATTCTAGTTGAGTTTTGCATTCGCGTCGATTAGCGGTAGACCTATAAGTTCATTGCTGTTTTATGTATGGCACGTCGATCAAACAACCGTGCACCGGGGTATTCGCGCGTAGCGCACTTGCCACGACGAAAATTCAAGCTACGTCCGCCCGTTGCGTTTGCTCGGATCCGCCGATCCGGGCGCAACCGGAATCGAATAAATAATCAGAGTTTGAAAATAACCAGCTCGCGGCGGGCTCATGCAAATTGCGCTCGGTTGCGCGTGTTGCGCAAAGGCCTCCGGAATCCTTGAGCGAGGCAATATTGTCGATTTGAATATCGGCTCGAGAAATGAAAGTTGTCGCGCGCGTCAATGCGCATTCTTCCGAATTTTGTAAACGAAAGCAGCCGGCGAACGACGCGGCATACCTATCCTCCGTCTCCCCGCGGGCGTCAATCGTCCTCCGTCGATGTGTGGTGATATCTCGCCCGAAATCGTCAGTCGGCGGCATTTCGAAACGACGCGGACCGTTATACAGACGTGAACCTCACGCCCGGGAATTTCAGCTTTCAAATGCTAAATTATGGGCTTACGCGTGCGATTAATAACAATCAAGAGCACTCAAGTGCCGAGACGCCCAGCCGAAGGAATGTGTAGCTAACGCACTCGGAGCTTGACGCTTTCATGACGCTATTTACAAATTGCTGCTTGCTTCTGACGCGCCAAAATATATGATCGCGAATAACGGGCCACTTTCGTTGAAGAGGCGATCCTCGCATTCCAGATCTTCTCTCAGTTAATGTCCCATGCACGTGCGACGACTGTTATCTCGCTCCTCGCACGCCTTCGACACGTGACGACGATACGCCCGGAGAGCTTTTTATCACCGACAATGTCGATGTGGCAATGTTGTAGTTCCGCTGGCATTTACATTCTTTCCTCCGAGGCGCATTGCCGTGGACCTTGTTGTGGCGGCAAATATGAAAGTTATGAACTTTTGCAAGAGACCTTTATCGATTTATGAAAGGCGCGAGTTGCTCGCCGCGTATATGCCGTTTTCGTTTGCGCGAAGACTCCAATGTTTTTAATTTCCTTTTGTGCTCGTTCCATTACGAAAGATTCGCTTAATTATCTACAAGACCTCGAACAAAGGGAAAGTTTTCTTTTCAAAAATGGAAAGTCAGGTTTTAAGATAAAACTCTAGAAATATTTTTCATTATTTTTATATATAATTTATTGAATACATAATCGCAATGTATAGAAGTATTACACTTACAATCTTTAATTTATTACAAATCTCTTATTATTATAGTAATGATATTTTCGTCATCGTTTTTTTTTCTTCTCGTTTGCACTCTCACTTAGTAACACTAACAAACAAAATTAATAAAAATTACTTATTTCTCCTACTTCTTTTTTCGTTTAAGGATGACTTAATAAATGTACATGCTTCAATCTTGCGTAAACATTCATAAGTGCAACTCAGTTGAATAGTAACTTATGTTCTTAGTATTACGTCCTGAATAGAACTTAGTCCAATTTCGTTTGCGTTTAGAGGAAAGGTCACACATACCGCAAGCATCATACAAATTTTACAGTATAAACATTTAGAAATTGGCTTATCATCAGAAAATTATGAAAATTTAATTTTGTTTTTAAACCGTTTTCCACTTAAGATAATAGTTTTATCATTCTTGTAGTTAGAATTATACATGACATTTAAACTTGATTTTACGTGCTTAGATTGTTTCTTTGCATAATTAAATACTAAGATTATTCCTCAATAGCATATAGTTACATAAGCCACGAACATTTAGTTTGATTATACCAATAATTGACTTTCGTGTCATTTCATTCTCAAGTATAATTTATCTTTTCAACGTAACGCTGAATGTGCTCATGTTTAATTTTTATGCTCCATAAAGTCGAGAAATGAAAATCGCTTTGAGCAAAAGGACTCGGTATAGAAATAAATCAATTGATCATTAGATGTACCATTCAATTTTAAAAAATCGACGAAAAAAAATACTGAATAGATTATAACTACAGTATACAGCCATCGCGCTTCAATGTTACAAAAATGTTCAATGCTACAAAAATGTTCAAACATTATCAGGGCACGTTCTGAAAACGAAATAATTTACCAAGTTCTATATTACAATCATTGACAAACCACATTATACCAATGTTAAACATCCTTTCATGAAAGATTATTGATTTCGCAAGAGCGAGGAACTAAAAAAGAAAGTTGTGGTTAATAGTGCTAAAACACAACGTAAAAGTCTCCTAATAGAACAAAAGTTTAACTCATTTCGAAATCATTAAAAATAACCGGCTTATCCAAACATTAATGACCGGAGATAGAAGACAGAGGAAAGCATCTTCCACGATTCCGGTATGCACATGTTAATGAGTTCGATTACCAGCTTCACGAAAGAGATACTTTTTCTCGGCTTAGCTCAAGTGTGAGGCTATACAAGTATGCAAGATGATAGTGTCGTATTAAAATTTTTTTAATTTTCATTGTAAGTACAAAACAATTCAAAATTGTTGTATTGTACATAACTTGGAATTTAGATCAGAATAACCTTAACTTGTTAACCTTTCTCTTCTTTTTAATGATTCAATTATTTCATTTACTGCTTTACTTTCTGAAATTAAATTTCATCAACTTTTGAAATGAATTCAATACAAAGGATAATCAAGTCACGTCACATACATTTAGCTTAATTAAAAGCAAAATTATGTTTTCGACTCTCATACTGAAATACGTATTATATTTTAATTATATAATTACATTCTAGGAAGAATTTGAATTTCGAATGTTACCCTAATTTCGTATATCAGGAAAATTCATTCTTTCGACGTAAAATATAAAGTAACGGATTTAAAATTTTGAACACTGTTCATTTTTAATTTGGCACACGCTTTCAATTTGGAATTGCAGTTCGCTGTACGAATAAAACAAGTTAAACAGTGTCTATATTTATAATACGTGTTATCACCTCTTACAGAACACACAATATCATTCAAAAGCTTTGCTTGCGGCTCCCACTAATGGAATATATTTAATAAATCTACTAAAAATGTCCATGGATATTTTTATTCAATACTTATATCAAAAGTAAATAAGCAAATAGAAAAACAAATAGTATATCATTTTTTACATTAAAATGTTTACGCAATGAATATAATGAGTGCCGTTACAAGTTCATATTCAATTATTGTGAACAATATGAGGCCTTGCAAATATTTGTACAATTGTAAAATATGCCCCGCATGTATAAAAAATTTAAATAGCTTCATTACGGTGATAAATTTCATTCATAGGTCTGACCTTGTTTGTCAAAGTGGAAAATTTTATAATTTATGTTTCTGCTTTATGTACAATTCGAAGAACTTAAAATCAGTGGTGTACGTTCGATGATACTCGAGACGTCGTAAAAATTTACTATACGCCAACGAAGAAAAAGGTATAAAAAAAACAAAAGTATAAGTGCCGGTGCAGAAAAAGAGAAACGATTTCTTGATTGTCGCAAAACTGAAATTCATTTCCTGCTGTACAAAAAGACACTAAAACAACAACTACAAATAGTTTGAAAGTAAACTGGTTGGCGTTTACCGTAATTATGCTGCGGTGTATGATTATTATTTAGCGCATCATATGTATATAAAATCGTTACAATACTATAAGCATTTTAATTTGTCCGCACAATCAGACGTTATAATTGAGATGCACGCCACTTGTCTACGCGATGTACATTATAAAATTATATTTTCAATGCGCTTGCTCTGTCAGCTTAATTTAATTTTTATACATGTATAAATATATGGCCACTTGCACTTGTACAGATGCATTTTTTTAATCTGCATAAGATTGTTATGTCCTTTCTTTTTAAACGTTTGTAATTTTCCTTGTCGTTCTTTTGTATACATTGTTTAATTTTTATTCGTGCAATCGTATCATGAGTCGTTTAAAAAATTAGATAATTGTTCATGAGTGTGAATTTACTTCGGTTTCTCGGAAATAAGTTGACGATATTTCTCGTGTTTAATTTTCACAGATTAGACCTGGTTGTTACGGTAGATTATAGTTTATTCGTGGTATATATGTTTTCTTTGCGAAAAACTTCTAAATGTTTGATTTAAAAAAAACAGGATGTTTGTATTTACTGCCTTCCTCTTAATCTTTTTTTGTGATTGACACCAAACGGACCACTCTTGGATCTTTGGCTGTGCTACGTAACTCACAGGAATTTTAAAACAGGCCGCCCTTTTTCTTATTCTTCTTGTCCTTACCATCGACAGTTCTGAAAGATGAAAAATTCTCCTTTGTAGAACATACTAAAAAGTTACTCTATTTTTTTCTAAGCATTTTGTTTTGTGTATGAAGCATTGTTTCTGATAATTTAATTGTGTTAATAATTTGTTCTTGTTTCACAAATATTTCATCAACAATGCTTATTAAAACAATTTGCTGTTACCTACAAATGTTCTTTCTGAGTTCGAATAAACAAACACTTACCGCCTTAGGTGGCAGCACTTTACGATTTCAAATAAATTTTTCAAGTTCAACGTTACCGATAGTGCAATATTGTTATTTTATGTTAATATTCTTTAGATATTGATTTCAAAATTTTTATTCAAGTGATGCATGGTGATGCATTAGATTCAATTTACTTTGTTCAAGCCCTCGGCCAGAAAGCTGCAAAGAGTATATCATTCAAGAAGCTTTAAATTTGTGATGAAAGGAGCTTATAAATTTCCATAAATACGTTATGTAGTGACAGTTTGTAAATATTCACTAAAGAAAGTGAACAAGAAAAAATATATAAACTAATACAAAATCAAGATCTTTTAAAAATAGAATACGACACTCCACGTTTTTCGGAAAAATAAGAAATTAATTTATCTAAAGAATATAAAAGTTGGTGGTTATGGATTACTCAGGATAATGGATCATTAATCAATTCGCACAATTTATTGAACTAAAGTTACATTGATAGCAGCTGATATGATACAAAAATACTAAAATAATACCCAATATACAAGAATCTAACTACAAACAAAGCCCACCTTAACCACAGTAGTTACAATATTATGAAAATAAAAATACGTGAATAAAAACGACATGATCGCAAAAAATGAGTTTACGATTTGACGAGTGTCAAATGCAATATGTTACTAGTAGATCAGATAATAGGATATTCTGGCCAACGTATCGTGTTATGAAAAACGAAAAGAGTTTCGCTTTTGAAGTTTAAAAAGTAAAAGAAAATTAAACGACAGATTTTTTGACTTCATGAATTATGAAAGCAAAATCCTTGAAGTTACATCAAATGAGTATGCTGAGAAAAAAAACATGCCAACACATTTGTAATGGATAATGAAACATGCTCTGAAAAAAAAAATGTACATCTTTCTCTTAGACGGACGTACGACCAACAAGCCACATGCTAGCCGCAAGACGACAGTGTAAGTATGAAGCTATCTTTCATTCGCCCCTTACATCGTTAATTCAATTTCAAATGATTCAATTGTACATTTTTTATTAACGAATTTAGAGAAAAACAAGATTTAGAGACGAATGTACGTGAAGGACAAAAAAAATTATTGTTAGTAAGTTTTTTTATCATAAGAAAGCATTACATTTATTTGCGAAAAAATGTTATCGTATAATGAAAATTAACAACTCCTTATTCTTTAAATCTTAATTAAATTGCATCTTCTCTTTTCTGTCGACATCTGTCAAGTGGTCCGCTGGGCCCAATTTCGAAACAGCTTATCTCAAAAATGGTTGAATTGTGATATATAAAAGAGAAAAACAAAGCAAAAGGAGACAAAGGAGTTTTGTTTGATTGAGGTCGAGCGGACAACTTGTTCGAAGTTTACAATTAATGAACGTCTGTGCGTGTGACATCGTAATACACATATACTCTCTATATGTATACGTATATAAGTATATATATATATATATATATATATATATATATATGATCTATAAATGCAAGTTTATGCCCTAGGAACGTTCTAACGAACTTGTTCGTTAAGTCGCAACGCGTACACAAACACGCGAATAAATTTACGCTATAGGCTTATCTAGGTCTTAGCTAATAAAGTATCATCACTTATATAACATACATCAAGAAAAGACCTTGTCTCTCATCTCCTATTTTCATATTTTATTATTTTAATATGTACGTCGCTGCTATCTACTACGTCGTCGTGTTAAAAAATATGACAAAATACTTTGTTGTTTTGTTTGACTCTTGAAAACTTGGCTTATTTGTTCTACCTTCTAAATTCTAAATCAATGTTCATTTGACAATAGTCGATATGATTCAAGCGAGAAATCGAAATTAAATTCAGCACGCACATTCCAGAAGAAAATTAATATGAATCGTTTTTTTTCGTTTATTACATAGACTTTATTTTGAGATTCTAGCGTCACATTTAAAATCCATATCGACAAGTATGACAAGATTAATCAAGTTATTTCGTTAATGGGATGTAGAAGATTATTAGCAAGTACAAAAATTTATTTGAAATATATTAATCAGCAGCTTTAATTATACTTATTATGTAGTGCTGTTTGAAAAAATAAATTAAACTGTTTATTATACGTTCTTATGCAATTGAAAAACATTTAAAGCTACTTGGTTAGATTTGGTTAGTTTAAACTATTTTCTGAAGAAGCTTTCACATCCCATTAAATATAATGACAATGGTAAATGCAAACGATTATGACATCTGTTATTATTGACGATCAAAATGACACATGGTAAATTGACAAAAATTAAAAGATATGTGTTAATTCACTGATCGAATGGATAAAAAAACAGTTTTTGAGTGGATATAACTTTAAAAAATGATTGATGTAATTTTATAAAGATTGAAAGTTATTGAAGACAGCATTTTTTTAATAATATGGAAAAGAACAAGAATTTATCCATAAAAGGTTTCCTGATTAGAAAATTTTCACTATTTATCGATGGAAATATTAGTAAAATCTTACAACTTTGAACTAAAGAAAACACTATTGTAAAGTCAGTTAGATATATTCCAAACATAAAAATAAATGCAGTTGTGGCACAAATCATATGGCAACAGTTTGTATGTGACGCCGCTCGCCCAATCTAACAAAAATTTTCAAAACAGGAAAGCTTTACACGTGATTATACGCTCGGAGTATGTGTATTTGTATGGTAATCTCGTCTTGCAAAATCCTACTAAGGGTGCTCGGGATGCTGTATGACAAGCTGCTGTATCGGCATGGGATTCTCTTGTGGCGATTTGAAACTGGTGTGACGGCGTAGTAGATTACCTATGCCGCGAGCACCCCTCAACGTACCCCCGCCACCGCCGGAGCTCTCGGACGACACCGATCCCGTCCTAAATCAGGGATACCCCGGTATTGCTTTTTGTCTTTTCTAAGTTTTTTTCTTTCTTTTTCTTATACTTGCGCATACACACAACAAACGAAACAGAGAAATAAAGACAGAAGAAACTGAAGAGAACAGACGCAAGCGTTATGCCGCTAACAAACTTCTAGATTCATTCAGCGAACGTTTTTTTAATGCTGCCAATGATGCTCTGCATTTCAAGGCTATACATCTTCGTTAATTACAATTTATATAAAAAAGTATTTTTATTATTTATTTGGTTTCTGTAACTATCGTCAATCTGATGTAATCATAGAAAGTATTTATGTTGTGTCGTGAAATGATGTGACTTTACGTAAATCACTAACAAGTTTATAAAAATAATTACTGCATAACCAAGTTCAACATTGAAATATTAGTAATGATAATTGTTGATGCATATGTACATACGTAAATAAATAATGGATATAAGTTTATACATGAAATTAAATTAAAAATAGGTCTTTGTGTACGATTTTGTATAACCTTGAAAGTATGATTAACAAAAAATTCAACAATCTCAGCAAAACATAAATAAATCATATCTTATTGAAGTTTAGCGTTAATTCTTGCAAATTATAAAACCATTCAAACACATTCATAACTACTGCAATGATTGCATTTTAAAAATGTAAAAATTATGCACAGCATGCATTTAAAAAAGCTACTTATGCCTATGAATTGTTCTTTTTCTTAACTAGTTAGAAACTAATTTTAAAAAACAACAAACGTTTCTAAATATGATAATGTGAATAAATTGAAAAAAATGGTGTGGTTATTAATGATTATTAATTGTAATTTTAATGTAAATGACAAGATGAGTATCCTCTTCCAAATATTTATATTTGTTTTTTTTTGCAAAAGTTGATTCAAAAAATAGTGCTGTATACAATGAAGCATGAATTGTGAAAGCAAATTATTAATAATGTAACAATGATGTTTTCTTAATATCGCATATGAACAGACTTTACAAGGCAATTGTGTTCTATAGAACTAGATTATTAATCATTAGCAATTTCCTCTAATTAAGGCAATCTATACCTCTCTTTGATCGTAGTAACGAGTCAATCGAAATACTTAGAAAGAACTAAAAGTAGGCAAAATGATTTCATGTAATTCAAGTGAAATAGACATAAGCTAGTAACAGTTCAAATATAAAAATTAAAAGTCTAGAATATAAGTAAACTATACAAGATCTTGACTAGCAAAATATAACAAGAGTACTATCACCAATAGAAAGGAAAATTTACTATAATAAAAAAGAATTGAATTGTAAAGAAAAAACTTACTCTTTTGAATTTGCTTCGAGGCTTCGTCGACGTAGTTCCTCAATACTGTGTCCAGTTTGTTGTTCCCATTGCGACCTGTCAGCTTCGAATGCTCGTCTCTTTTCTTCAAGTTCTTTAGCCTGCTGTTCTAAAGAACGTCGCATTTGTTCGTGCCTTCGTTGTAACTACGGATGAAAGAATTCATTTTTTTAAACAATTGTATTTTCAAGCTAAAGTTTTTCTACATAAAGATGCGAAAATAATTCTACAATAATACTTATTTATACTTTTTTCATAGGTCATAGAACTTACATCTGATTCTAGATCTTTTAATTTTTGTTTCTTCTCGCGAACTTTCATTTCAAAAACTTGTTCCATTTCTATTTCCATTTTCTTCATTTTATTTTCATGTTCTCTCTTTTCCTCTTCTAACTGTGCCAACGGATTCCTAGGATGAATAAACAAATAATTTTTCAATATCATATAAAAGCAGTATACATACAATATAATGTATATTATTAATGACTAGCAGTGTATTCATGATATCTAAAAAGCTGTAAAGATAATGATGTATGTATGTGATGAGTTGAGTACATCATTTACATTATACCATAAACGTTCATATTATATATAAAATAAAAAATGTTTTATATGTACGTGATTAAATGCAGTTTCGTGCGGTTCGGTGGTAATTTTTTGAATTATAAAAATATCATAATAATGAGTTTTAATGCGGAGTATGTAGACTAATCGTCGTGCATATTCTAAACATTTACATGTGATTAGAGCAACCAAAAAATTAATTCGCAACAGTAATTAATTATAGTGAAATAAACATATATTGACGAGAGACCCTAATTTTCTACTAAATAAATATCTATGACTATTGAATACATCTATACAAGACTTGTGCACACAAAACTGTATTACAGGGTTTAGCCTTGAATAAACTTACCACACCATCATGAAACTGTTCATCACTCCAGGAGGGCACAAACTGACCAACGTAAAATATTTATTAGATTTTTATAAGCTTAGTTATCATTTAGAAATAATTTAGACATCTAAAAGTACAACTCTGTTCAAGAAATAAAATTAAGCATTCTATATATTTACTAACTTTAGTTTTTCGATCAGTTTGCATGCACAAGCTTTTTCCTCCTGTTGTTTTGTATTTTAAAATATATGAAAAGAATGGAATTTTTTATAAATTGAATAAAGTATCTAACGTCTTAATGAAGGTTTCATTGCTACGGCTTACGAATCGTGTGAATTTATTATATATTTTGATGCTATAAACTAGAAAGCGAAACTAAAAAATATTTTCTTATTAGCTTATGAATATAGTGACAGCGTTTCTATGGTGTGCGAAGGCTGCAAGATCATGTATCCTTTCCTAATCATGATTATTAAAAAGTAATACTTTACGTACTTGTTTGAAACTCTAGCAGGTTTGCCGTCGACACTGAGACCCGCCAAAGTGCGACATCGGAAGTTTTCATAATGGACATTATTCGTAACATCTTTCAAATCTTGTAAGTGTGTCCGTATTATCATATTCCGCAATGCGATGAAATCATTGTGTTCCAGATTTTCAACTGCAAAAAGTGACAAAATTAAGTTTGATTTAAAAAAACAGTCATCCAAATACAAATAAATATAAGACTAAATGTTATGATTTAAATAGAATTGAAATACACAAACCTTCGACGATGCCCCATGGGTATTTTCTACCTCGTACTTTCTTTCCATCGTGTTCAATGACTGTGTTAGCTCCGACAATAGCGAAAGGAACTCTGTCCCTCAGGACTTTGTGCAATTTACTTTCGTCTTCATCCTCGGCTTCTGGGAACTCGTATATCTTTATTTTGTGCTGTGCTATTTCGTTCAATACCTAAAAAGAGCGAGGCAAAGTGTTAGATAAAACATCAAGATTAAAAAAGCCGTGTAAATACATCTGCAAATGTACTTTTAAATGCTGCTTTTAAAAAAGTATTTTTTACTTAAAAAAGACAGAAAGCTTTTAAAATGCCATTTACATAAAAAGCAAATCATCTTTTAAGCATAAATTATTATTGTAATTTATTTTATTATTACTATTTATTGCCTTTAAATACATTACATTTACAAAGTATTTTGCAGATGTAAACAAGTTACCTATAGGCAAGGCTAGCATAACAAAACAAAATCAACAAAAATACAATTTACAAAAGTCTACAAACATACATTAATAATGAAAAATGCATATAAAAAAGATATATTACATTTAAAGAGAATTTGAAAGCATAAAGCAAAAGCATTGTTCAAATATAAACTTGATCTCAGCAATTTCCCCTAAATGAATCTATAAGCCAGTCATCAAAGTCGTAAAAAATGAAAAAAAAGTAATATACACGCACTTGTTTCTTAAAATAAGCGCACTCGTCAGGCGTCATGGTGTCGGCCTTGGCGAGGACGGGTATGATGTTGACTTTGTCGTGAAGCCGTTGCATGAACTCGATATCAAGTGGCTTCAATCCATGACCAGAGGGCGCGATGAAATAGAGACAGCAATGAACTCGACTGTCTGGTATCTGACGCCTTATCACTCGCGATTCAGCGTTCAGAAACTCCTCGTACTTATTCTCAATGTACTCGATCACTGGCTGCCAGCTGTAACCGACAATCGAATTATTTTTTTGTCGGGCTATTTTCGCCCGGAAAGAGTGCTTTCACCGCGGATGTTTTTGACAGTGCAATATTTCTCCCGCAAGAATTTTGCTGCGTGAAAGGAACAATTAGTGGCTTTTGCGACAAATTTATTCGAATAACGCACAACAAAAGTTTCGCTATCAAATTGAAATGCCGTGCAAGTATTAATTTCAGTGACTATTAATTATTAATTATTAAATACAAAACATTAATTATTTTCACTAGCGAGCAGAAACTTTTAACCTTTAGAGGACAGGAAAACGCCTAGAGGTATAAAAAAATCAAATTATTTATTTATATTTTACAACTAGTAACTAATCAATTATTTGTGGTAAAGCTTTTTTAGCGTGATAAGATGAATATAAAGCTAAAAATGAAAAAATAGTGCAATTGAATTTTATTTTGAAATTTTGAAAATGTTAACATTTGGCTTTACCGTACCGGATCGGTTACGCCTCTAGGCGTAAGAAATCTAATCTACCAACAACCCAACTTAATTTGGCTCTAATTTACGGACCTTAGACCACATTTCTATAGAAAAATGCGATTTAGAAATTTCTCCAAACCCCAACTCTCTAAAGGTTAAGAAGTTATCGTTAAAACTTTTAAGAAGCCAAGCTCGCACCATCGGCAAAACAGAACTCAACCGGGAATTGACATGAGAAAATTAATATGGCTTTGTTGAAAATCGATAACTATCGAAATTTAATAATTTCAACTCCTTGCCAATAAAGCAGGCATATCATTATCGAGCAGCTTGAAACTCAAGCAATACAAGTTTTCAAGTATCCGCAAGTTCTCGAAGGTAGAAGGGAAAATTTGGATATCCAACTCGTTCAACTTTCTCTCTATGATCCGCAAGCGGTTTATCGTTATGAAACACAATGGAGTGGCGAAGAAAAGAAAAAGCGAAGGATTAATTGTTCTCAGAGTTCGATATAGATATACATTATCTTCGTACCAATTGCTATTGTCGACGGCGTCACCGAAGCCTGGAGTGTCGACGATCGTGAGAGTGAGATTGACTCCATTTTCCTTTAGCAGCACTTTGCTCGTCTCCACGGCAACGGTTTTCTTCATTCGTAGACTTGGTCCAGGATGCTCTGCGCTGTAGATGTCCGTTAAGAATAACGAATTTATCATCGTCGACTTGCCAAGGCCTGACTCCCCTGTAAATACATATAAGGTTATATTTGAGATCATTTATTTCTTTCTTCTACGTAGAAAAGACGACAACTTGATGGATTGCCCCTCCTTTTCTTGATTTTCACCAACATAACAAAAAGTAACGGACGTTTATTTGTTTTTTTCGTGTTTTTGTTGGATGTATTGGATAATTGATCGAACTGTGGTCTAGCAAAATGGCAACTTCTTTGTGTGTAGATTGTATAAAAGACGACATCTTATAATTTATTTCTTTCCCATTTCTACGTTCGAACGACATTATCTGCTTCCAATAATCTCAATTCCATTTCCGTCTCAAAATCATCCATTACTTTTGGTTTTATCGCGATCAGTTTTTTTCAAATCCAGTCAAAATGAAAATTAATACATTTCAGGTTTTCATGAAGCATCGATTATTATTGCTTTACATCGTCCAAAAGACTATTACGATCACGTTCTGATATTTCGAAAAAAGTGTCACAGTGTGACTCAACAAATCAATCGATAGCTTGCCGTAAAAGAGAAAAAAGAAGGCCACTCTACGGTCGTTTGTCCTGTGTCGGTGGCGCGCGTGAAAAACTGCAAAACAATAAAGCGTCGCCGAGCCAGGTAGCAGCGCAAGTATTCCCGATATCCACTTGGTAACGTTAAGGAAAGACGAACATTCTATGTGAGCACTTACGCGTATCCCTCGTTTAAAGAGAAATGAAAAGTTACAAGAGTATAAACACACTTGCGAGATATGAATATCTGTGCGCGCGAGGAGGAGCTCGCTGCGTTTTGATTCTGCCGAGTTGTTTGTTTGCTCTTTTTTTCTCTCATTCGCAAAGGTTAGCGACCGAGAGGTTGCGGTGCCTAAAGATAGACATGGTCCACGGAGCATTGCTCAATTGAATTTGCGATCGGGCGCCCGCGCGCTAAGTCGAATATGAAGAACGGTAAGCTCCGAAACGGTATCAATCGAGACAGCCCATCGCGCCACGCGGAAGTAGTTTCGTGAATCATCGGCGCGCCGTTTTGTCGTGCTTGCAAGGAAAGATACGTTCTATTTTTCTTATTCTCGACTGCAGGCGAGCGAGACAGCGAGCAAAAGAAGAGAAAGGCACTCGAGCCTTTGCAAAATGCACTTCCATCTGTCGCGCACGTGTTGTTGCCGGACATCTGGCGCTGCAAGCGCGATCATTGTCACGTCACGGCACGTTCGCGTTTTTCGCCGTCAGCCAGCGATGACCAGCGCGGAGAAGATGGGCGAACTCTTCGGCAAATCACTGTTGCGAATAAACAAAAAAAAGAAGTCGTGGAATCGACGACGTGCGTTTTCCCTATTAAAATAGCTATACGTCTCGCTGGACAGACATTTGTTCTGAATAGCTACAGCTCGCAGAACGGCTCATCGGTTTCCCGTCAATCAACGCGGTTCAAGTGGCTTTCGCGCACATTGTGCGTGGGTATTATAAATATCCGGCATATGTAGTTGCGGAGGAAATAAAGCGAGAAACAACTTTTCTCCCTCTCCTTCTCTCTCGCGCGCGCGCAAAACTCGCGTATTTCAAGCACGACTCGAGAGAGCCGAAGTTTGGAGGGAAATTAAAATGAATAACAGTTTGTAGGACGTAAGTCAACGCGCGCGCAAGTTTTTTTGAAATATTAAAGAACCTTGGGATGCGATGCATCAAAGTTTTTCCATCAGTCGTGCGAAGAGGTAGGTGTAAAACTTCCGGAGAAAAATTAGAAAAAATACGAGAGCATTTACCGACAACCATGAGAGTGAAGTCGAAACCCTTCTTGACAGCCTTCCTGTAGACCTGATTGGGCAAGTTGGCGAAGCCAACGTAACCATCCAGTTCCTTGGGTTTGGTCGGTATAGTGGGTCTCGGGGCGGTCGCGAGAGTAACGCCAGTGGCATTTGCAGCAGCTTCCTTGGCATTTTCGGCGCGTTTGTTGCTGTCCTCGGACGAGTCTGTCTGACTCAGCGAAGCCGCCAGTCTGGGTTTTGCCGGGGCGCTCGGTGGCACCACTATCGTCGTCGTCGAGTTGTTGCTGTTGATGCTAGTGCTGTTGCTTACGTTGTTCGATGCTGGCGCCGTTGGTGGTTGTGGCGGTGGTACCGATGGTGCTGTTGGTACCGCCGGTGGCGACGTTATTGAACCGCTGTCGCCCTTGAAGAACAACTCGCGCTTCGTTTGGATCTGCCGGAAGAATGTGTCAGTTATTACGATTAGCGAAAGTCTGATGATTGAAATACTATTTCACATAAGTCAACTAATGGCAATTGCGCCTGCGAGCAGCGTTATACGGCAATGTGTCATTTTCTCTCGACGATTCTTTCAGTGGTTGGCTAACGAACAAGTTATTTTTTTGGCCGCCCAGCTAAAACTTACTTTCTTTTTCTATGCATGTACATTTCTATACAATTTCAAAGGAACCTTCATCAGACTGACAAAAGTTGTACTGCTTGGCAAACATTTTTTACGCGAATATCGAACCGTATGCATTCTAACCTTTACGTCAACGTAACAATTCTTTCCTTGTAATAAAAATGATACATATGTGACACACGGCTTTTCATTTATTTTTCTACCGCACGTACTGCGCAAAGTAACGCCCGCATAAAAACGTTTGTACGTTTTTTGCACTTGTCAGCAGAATTGCGCAAAGAAAGACTCGATACGCGCTTCAAATATTCAAACACGCGAAATCGTGCAGTGAGAAAAGCTCTGCCTCCCTCCGCCCTCCCCAAAAGAAAAAAAACACGACGTAACTACAGTCACTGGCAGCGTCGTAAAAAGATAGAAGACAAATATCGATATGGCAGCAGCGTTGCGTCCGTGTGCGTATAAGAGGTCTGTGTCGCTTTTATCGCGCGAGCACGAAGAAGTTCCGTCCGCAGGAAGTTCCGCGTCAAGAGGCCGTCAAGCGACGTCCGTCCTCGCCTCGCGGTGCGCCGTTAAAAATCGTGAGACAATGCACCGCCATGCGACGACGCGCCGCATGCGCGTGCAGCGCTTCATATTTTCGCGGGTCGATGGGCCCGCACTATTCTCATCTTCCTCGCCGTGGCGTGCAATCAATGGCGTTTTCCTTTCTCGCTCTGCTTGGCAGTCGATAAACAATGCTACCTCCTCGCCCCCTCCCCCCCTCCCCCTCCACGCATTCGCGCACGATGACGACGTTAATGGGGACGGACCGTCGTATGCCCGCGGGAGCGTGAAACTTTGACCGCGTTGTGCGTCGAAACCCTCCGTGCGGCTTGCCCATCCCCCGACACCTTTTGTGCGCGGCGCAGGTAAATTTCATTGCGCGCCCCGGAGATAAGCGAGGGAGCACCTGGCAACTGCATTTTCCTCTCTCACTCTTTGTAACTTCGTTTTTCTAACCCCGTTAGCCAGCGCGCGTCCGACGATAGAGCTCGCGAAATTGAACGGGATTGAGGAAGAATGGCCTTTGGAGTGCAATTGCCCTCTCGCTCTTGCTGGATACAACTTTTTGATTGTCGCAAATTGGTGGTGTGCTTGTGACAACAAAGCCGCCACGGTGAAATGAAATTGCGAGCGAGCGAAAGAAAATTTGAATGTACTTCTGCACGTGGCAATTGTGAAGCGTACGAAACAATCGGAATAAGAGCAACATAAAAATGAGAGAAGCGATGTTTTACGAATCACATACGGTTCGCAACAGCAGCAGTTTGTTTTTAATTCGCAGAGAGAGATAGAGAGCGAGAGAGCCAATGTACGCTCTGTCGCGCGCGCAAGCAGTTGATGAGAGTTGATGCGTCTCCGCCTCTCTCTTTCTCTCTCGCTCACTCGCTCGTGCTTCTGTGATGCTGCAGCATTGGATAAGATGTGCAGACGAATAAACTAACGCATAAAGAATGACTCTAGCGCGAGCAGGGATAATTTTTTGTTAGGGTGCAGTTCGGAGTAATAATGGTGTTTGTTTTACGTATATGGATGCACGTAGCTGCAGCGGTACGTACAATTAAAAATGCTTGTGGGCCATCGTTGTACAGGCTTTTTATTTCGGCCACGCGATATATTCGTTTGCGGTCGAAAATCGACAAAAGTGGCGCTAGTTGAAAATTCCAAAAAGAGAAATCGCGAGCTTACGTGCAACTCTCGTGCGGAAGCTCAAGAGCGTACGAGACAAGCAGATTCTCTCATCGGAGCAACAAGTTTCAAATAACATTCATTTCGCATCGAGTGAAGGCGCCTCCGAACAATAGAAAAATCTTCGTCGTGCGCGCTACTCGACAATCATTTTCCAGCGAGCACTCGCTCAAAAGAAAAAGAACTCCGCGGCATACAAAGAGCACACTCGGTCGCAACACAAACGCGCGCAGTGTGCCTCGACGCGTCTCCAATCTGAAGCTCGCATCTGGAGAGGCCGCCTCTATCAGACGGCATAATCGTTAAGACAGCCATACGCGCGGATAAATAGACAAAGGGCCGCGGCAGCGAACGTGTCGCTCGCAGACACGCGCGCGGATGTATTCGTGGCGGAATACAAATTGGACGAAAGTCGCTTCCGTCATATAAAAGCCGCTCGATCTCGCTCGCTTGGCGCAGGCAGGCAACGTCGAGGCCCTGATCACGCAACCAGAGAGACTCCGGGTGAGTGTATAACGCCTCGTCCTCCCGAAAATTGCGAGTCTCTCCAAAACGAGTGGAATTCAATCGAGACATTGCGGCATCTTCGAGAGCCCTGCCGAGCTTGCGCGCTCGGACGAATCAAAAGGCAAAGCTGTCGAATGTAGGCCGAGCGATTATCCGGGCTCGCGCGAATTGACACTGCGAAAGGTCGACAAGCAATTAGCGCAATTATCAACGCCGCCGGAGCACCTGCTTACAGCGCCGAGGCGAATCCGATCGCCGCGCGCGATTGCACTACTTTGCATATTCGGCAATTAAATGCAACGACAGAGTAATCTCGCCGCGAAGCACCAGCTCAGCGTCGATGGTGAAGGTTCATTGACACGGCGCCCGCTTGCGACCATACGAAAGGAGTGTATACGCGCGCCTGTGGAAAAGCGATAAATCACTGCGCGGGAAAATGCTCGTCCGGCGATTAACCTCCAGCGCGCGCGAAGGGGAAGAAAGAGAAAACGGGAATGTTTGAGCAATTTTAATCGATGAATTTAATCGTTTGTTCGCCGCTCGTGCATCCACTCCGGGTTTATATAAAACGCTGACTGTGCGCGCGCCACTGCGTTTTGTGCACGTGGCATCGTCGATCGTTAATTAAGCATTCATTAATTATCGATGCCGGGAAGAAGGCACGAGAGGCCTCTGCTATAATTTGCAAACCGTGTCAGCGACGCTAAATGGAGCTGAAACGATCGGCCGCTTTTTCTTCGATTTTTCGACTAGCTGGCTTTTTTCATTCTTCAAATGACTTTGACTGTATTCTTCGAGTAAACTTAATCCGATGACGTTACTTACGAATATCCGCCGTGACTTGATTGCGCGACGATCGCTTGTGTTCGAACTTGAAATTTCCACGGCAGTGAAAAAGGTGCAATGCCGAGCGGCTAGCGAAATGAACTTTTAAACGATTCAACATAATCAGACGGGCAGCAGAACTTGCCTAGATAGTCGACAACAGCGACATCCCCTTTTCCATCAGCCAACTTCTTTCTTTCACTCTTGACGCCCGCTCAGTCCAAGTCTCGCTCTCGATCAGTGGAAACTTATGACTCTTTCTTTTGTCGAACTTTTGGCGAAACTGACTCTTTATGGGTTTTTTGAGCGACGAAATGAAATGTTAACGTGGCACGGGAAAATCCTGTTCGCTCGGTAACAGAGGCGAGAGAGGAAGCTGTATATAGGTCGACGGTGTCATGATTCGAGATCAATTATATCGAGACACTCATATCAGAGTACATACAAAGTTGCAATATTGCGCGAGAGCAGCTCGAGAATGGCACCCTTTTAAAGGAATCCGATAAATGTCGATTAGACCGAGTTACCTACCAATAGCGCGTGAGATTCGTGACAGATCGTCGTTATCTTTATATTACAACAAATGTTTTCGATAACTAGCAATATCTTTCTTTTTTTTGTTTTCGTTCTCGTAAGCCAAGGGATTACTATTCAAGAATTATCGGCAAGGAAAGAAATTGGGCCAAGAGAGTTTCCTGTCTTTGCATGCACGGCAGCGCGCTTGATGAAAATTGTAAATTCTGCATCGCCGATTTTCGTAAAAGGGACACAGGCGCTAAGTCGAGCGAGAGTTAAAATAAAGGGGTCGAACTTTCAATCGAGATATAACGCAAAACTGACTTTTCCGACGATTCTGCCTGCGTCGCAATAACTGTATTCATGGCAGAGGTCTAATTAGTATAAAAAAAACAATATCGCCGCGCAGTAGAACATGCATTATTCAAGCAGAAGCTCTCGCGAAAGCGACTTCCTGATAGACTGACATTTAGGCATTGCCGTCCTAGCACGAATTTGCATATACGTACAGCACACGAGAGAATATCAGAAAATAAAAAAAGGGGAGGAAAACGTGCGAGAGAAGAGATCTCTAGTGACACGTCGATGACTGAAATTTCATCGATGCCATACTGCAGTCGAGTCGGACGGCTTTATAAATATGCCGTGCGTATTCCCACGGTCCTTGCACTCTCTCGCGATCACACAGCGTGATGGTATCGAACTTGCTTGAGACGAAGACGCCGGTAAGAAAGTAAGTATGCGCGTCTGACGACTTCATAGCCTTCGTTTTTTTCTTCTTTTTGTTGCGACAAAACGCGTTCCTCTGATGCGATTGCCAATTCCGCGAATGACAAGTGACACTTGGAACGAAGCTAGACCAGATAAAAAATCGCTATTGGTCATTGTTTTCTTCGCGGATCGTCAAAAAAAATGTAAATCAACGTTCGAATATCGAGAGAGTCAATGAAAATGTCCCGATGTTAATACATATGGCTTTCAATACAGAAAGCCACCTATCAGCGCGGAAAGCAGGTCGGCCGATGTATTTCAAACGATCCGGCCGCATCAATTCACTAATAATAAAAAAAATCGATTCGCACAGCTTCGCTTAAGTCACATGAAATAATAATCATCCGCTGTCAGGATGGAAATCCCATTTCCTACGTCCTCCGCTCGCTACTTTTGCAGTCGCGCGGTGACGCGAAGGCTTGTACATGTACTTTTTTGCTGAAAACTGTTGTCGCGAATCGACG